TGGAGCTTGTTGCTGTAGGCTCTTGTGGAGCCCAGGCTGACTCAGGAAGGGGAAGATGGCATTGTGGAAGATCAGTCTGTTGGTGGCTCTTAAATACGACAGTCCAATGCAGTCTCTGGCTCTGAACATCCTTGGCTGCTGGCTGCCAAGAGCTGGGAGGTGTGTTGGGGAAGGATTGCTCATGGATCTCCCTGAACACCTGGTACTGACCGCCACTGGGGGGTGGGATCAGGGGCAGGACGGAATAGAGAGCAGAGCTATTCTGACGTCCCTGCAACCACACCTGCTGTTAAAACACAGTGTCTGGGCCAGAATGGGGCCCAGCCCTGTCCCCAGGACTCTTACTTGGGTCACACAAACATGAGGCAAATTGCATTTCGGGGGGGTTTGTCATGGATCAGGGAAGACCGGCTGGTTGGGGGAGGCTAGTGGGAAGAGCCCAGCCTGGCTGATCCACAGGAGAAAGTGCTTTTCCCCGAAGGACAGGGTCTCTCTGTTGCAGGTGCTCCATGTACTCACCCCATGTGTCCTGTTGGGCCAGCCCGGCTCAGGAAGATGGGCTGGGAGATAGAAAAGCTTCTCCCTTGCCTGCAGGCTGCACCCTGCAGCCTGGAGGGCAGATGCTTTATCCCTCCTGCACAGTTGCAGGCCCCTTAGTGGCCACTGTATCAGCTCCTGTGCAGACTCTGGATGGAAATATGACCGTACTCAAGCTACCGTCTTTCCCTAGCACCTCTAGACTTCACTGACCCACAAAAAGCTTAGCTTTTATTGTGGCTTATAGACCTGGAGCTTCTTTTCTACTGAACCGCTGCAACTCTCCCCCAGCCTGCACACAGGCTCCTCTCCACACAGACGCTTCTCTCCGTCTGTGGATGCTTTTCCCATTACTGTTCTGGCCGGGCTCCATGCACCAAAAGGGCTGGGGAAGGCACAAGCCAGCACTGCCCCCCTCTTCCCTTCCCTTCCCTCCCTTTTTTGTGAAATGAAGGCAGAGCGGGCCCCCAAATGACATAATGAGAGCATGACATCAGGCTTGGCAGGCAGAGGCGTGCTATACTCTGCTCAACATTATATGTTCTGTGGAATTAAGAAAAAAACAGCCGTGCACCAAAAAAAGCCTGTCCACCACAGTGTTGCAGAAATAAACCCCGTGGCTGCCCTGGGCTTGCAGCTGCGAGGCCGTGGAACCTGTCTGAGCATCACAAAGGGACAAAGCGGGTGGCAACAAGCCCTGCTGCTCATTTCCATCAGCAGCTGCTGGAGGGCAGCAGCTATGTGAGGGCACGCCAGTGCTCGATGCTTTTTACCCCCAGAAGTTACCCGACCCCATCTGCAGGAGATCTCGCTGGCAGTTTTTGCGACTGATCCGTCCTCACACTCCCGGTGAGACGGGCTGCTGTTAGCCCTGCGGTACACGGAGCTCCGGAGAGGTTGGGTGGCATACCCAGCATCACACAGGGAGTTGGTAGCAGAGCTGAGATGGAGCTGAAGGCTCCCAAGGCTCAGGTTGACGCCATCATTACTAAATGTTCCCTCATCTGAAGCTTCACCTTCCCCGCACAACCAACTTCTCTTCCAGAAGAAGCATTTTAAAATCTTCCTTTGCTTGGCGTGTAAGTTAAATGTGTCTGTTTGCTGGGGCATTTAGGGAGCTGCAAGGGGAGCTCTCTGTAAGGCATCTTTTGCAGTTTTTGTTCTATACCGTAGTCAGTGGGTTTTGGTGCCCCTTGTCCCACAGAGTGCGGAGAAGTGTGCCAGCCCTCCCAGCCTCCTCTGGCATTATATGTCTCCATTTTATAGGTATGGAAACTGAGGCAGGATCGAGAAGTTGTGACTTGCCCACAGCTGTCCTCTTCCAGGCAGCACAGCGTGTTCTCAGTATCCCCCATGGCACAGTAAACTAAATTTTTCTTTCTTCTCGTGGAGAGGGCGGCAGTCTGTGTGTGCAGTGCATTTCAATGGGGAGCCTTGTTTTCTGCTGGCTTCAGCTCTGCTTTGAACCTGCTCCGAATTTTCTCCAGCCTGGCAGTGGGCTGGGAAAATACAGTCGTGGCAGTTTGTGGCACCGAGAGGCTGAGCTCTGTCCCACAGCCTTTGCGTTGGTTTTTATTGCTCAGTATTTCCTGATTTATTTTTTTTTCTGCAACCTGACTTGGTTCACAGCCATCTTTCCCATGCCAGGAAGGCATAATATGATTTTCCATACAAGTTGGAGAGGGACCAGTGGGAGAAGGCAAGCAGGCAGCTGGGAGCCCCAGCTCACTGACTCGCAGCTGGAGGTGGCAGGCGCTGGCATCCGTCACCGTTCCTCACTTCTCCAAGCTGTCCTGTCAATGGGAGCTCTGCTTCCCTTGCAGGCTCTGCACTGAGGAGGTCTGGGGAGGTTGAAAGCTGGGAGGTTTTATACCGGTTCCTCATCAGATCATGAAGGCAAGGGTAGAAAATAGCAAGAGAATTGGGCTCTGGTTTGTAGGTAACAGTGGGTTGCCATCTAGTGCCTGGTCTGGATGGAGTTCAGCAGTGTCTGTGGGTGCTGGGTGGGAGCTCAGGCTGTGGAAGACAGAGGGTGGGAACCAAGGTCTTGGGATCCCTTGGAAAGCATGTGAGCTGTAGTTAAGTGACAAAGTGTCAGGGTGTAGACAGAGCTTGGGTTAATTACAACCTCCAAGGGCTCAGAGCATCTCGCAGCCTCTGAAGCAGCCTTGCCTGGGAACCGAGCCCCAGGTTTCTCCTTTGAAGCCTGCTGGTGGAGCTTCTCTGCGTGCTGGGCTGTGGGTCAGTGTTGGCTTTGGATGACAGTAGTGGGAGCAGGATAGATGGGCGAGCTCAGATGGTACTATCTGGCAGCATCAGCTTGGTGTGTGCAGAATGACAGCCAAGTTGTACTATCAGGAGAGGAGGAAAAAGGCACGGGAGCCCTCTCCAGCCCTTCCACCATGCTGCCATGGAGGCTCACTGGGGCATGATGGTACTGATACCCCAGAGGCACGCATCCGAGGGGCCTGACACCCTCCCAAGCTGTCCTGGCCATATGAAGCAGCACAGTCCCTTGAACAAATCAGAGGATTGAGGGTTATCACTTAGTTGTTCATGGGGAACAGCTCCTCCTGGCCCTTTCTGAATAAAACCCGCTGGCCGCAGCCACAGCACCAGGCGTCCTGCACCCCTTGGGTCCCCACTGGATCACTCCTGTTCACCAGGAGCTCCTTCCCCCATGCGTGCCGCTCAGCAGGCAGTGACATCTAGTGTCGGTCCAACACACTGTGTAAAAGCAGCACTGAGTGGGGAATTACTGCCTGTATTTGCATTTTACCTCTTTGCTGAGGCTGGTGGGAGCAGCTCTGCCACTGTGCATCTTCCTGGAGCAGGTACCAGGTCACAGTCATCCCTGGTCCTGCTCTTGGGTAGGCATGGAGCTGACTGACCCCTGGGAGTCGAGGATTTGGGGTCTTAGCCTTCACTTATCTGAAGTTTAAAAGCTTTCTCTGAGATGAAATGGAAATAATGATAAGGGATGTTTGTAAAGGGCTGGGGAAGGCTCAGGACCAACCCCTCCATGCCTGGCACTGTGGCAGAGGGATGGAGATGAGCAGAGCTGTCCTGCTGGAGTTGTTCACCTCCTACTTGGGAAGCAGCAAGATGGGAGAGATGGAGAGAAAGCTGCAGAGAGCTGCAGAGAAGGCGGCTGGGCTTGGGGCTGGGTGTCCCAGTCCCCTGCATGGCTCAGGTGCCTGCTTGCCCGATTCTGCCATCTGTGATGGTGAGAGCTTCACCCTGCCCTGCGCGCTCTCTTCTCCATGCAGCCAAGCAGCGCTGCTGGAAGAGGCTCTTTGAAATGGCCAAGCCCTGATTTTGTAGCAGCAGAACAGTTTGGTTTGGAGGTCTCTCTCGTCTGGGCAAGGAGCAAGAAGGCATCAGAGCTGAAGCACCATTTCCTTCTGTCTTGGGCTTGAGGGGCTGCCTAAAAACTAAATGGGTTATTTCCAGGTATTTCAAAGGAGAAGAGAAATAGTTGTACTGGTCTCCCCTCTAAGGTAACTGGTCAAGTAATGCAAGAAGGTGCAGAGGCAGAGGAGTACAATTTACAGAAAATGCTCAAGGAGAGGTGGAGCAGGAGCCTCCGTGAAGAAGGATCTGACCTGGCTGGCAGCAGTTGGGATTCCAGTCCAAGCTGTCCTGTGTGTTTGTCTTGCAAGTGGGAGCTGGAAACAGGTTTGGAGGTGACTTTCATGTCCCCCGTGCAGAATGTGACTCCCATGTGGTCTGTGTCACTTCAGCAAAGGATGCTCTGTATTCTTTAACTATTGTCCCAGCTACCCCGAGACAAAAGAGCACTGGCTTGATCGAATATTTTTGCTAGCATCCTTTTTTTAAGTGGATTTGTTGAGCTTTTATTTTGCACATTTCTTGGACTTCTTTATTGGTGTTGCTGGTGAACTCTTCTGAATCCACTCTCAGCTTGGCAAAGAACTCTTGGACAGCAAAATTAGGGAAAATAAACTCAAACCTTTTAAAGAGACATCCATCCCTGTTACTTATCCCCAGAGTTTCCTGGAATCGTACATAATTTTCCTGCCAGTTTGGCAGAATTCTTTTCATTTGGATAAATTAAGTTTAAATGTCAGATCAAACCAAGAATTAATTAATTAGGGGATAAAAAATAAGAGGTGAGACAGCAAGAAGAAATTATGGGAAATGCTTGTAGGAAAAAAGGTGAGAAGGGAGGTGGGCAGGAGAACGTCTCTGTTGACACGGCACGGCTGTGGCTGCTGTGAATCCAGCCTTGTCCGCCTCCCTGGAGCTCTGCCAGAAATCCTTGAAGGATAATAACCATTGCATGGGCTCGGAATAAGTATTTTGATGCTGCTAAAAGAAGGTTTTGGCCGAAAGAGATTCATCTGAAACCAAAGAGTGAAGTTTATTGGAAACGAGTGGAGACAGATCAGCGAAACTTTCACTTCTTAGCTGAGTGACATTTTAAAATTGAAAAAGAGGACATGGGGTGAAAAGAGAAAGCTGGACTGGAGGACAGAAACAATTTTGCTTTGGATGAGTTGAAGGCTATTGGTGTTACAGGGAGCAATTAGAGATTTTTTAAAACGGTGTTCCTTTTATAAGGACAGTCTAACCTGATTTTAAATGGAAAATATTCTTTGTTACTTCTTTCCTTTTAAGCTTTTCCAAAGAGAGACAGAAAGATCTTTAAAATGTAAAAAGCTGAACGCATCAATTGTGTAATTAATGATCAGTTCTTTGGCACTAGAAATGGACTGGAAGTTCTGCAGAAATTTTTCTCTATGTTAATTACTATGTTAGTCTAAATTATTTCTTAATTACTTCTTTGAAAGTACATTAGACTTGAATATTTTTTTAAAAGGATACATCAAATTTAGTAATACATTTGTCATGTCTGTAATTATTCTAGCTAGATACACTGCAGAATGGTATGCATATAATGATAGTCCTAATCTGTATCTACACATTATACAAAGCTTTGAGCAGCGAATGATTTATAGCTGGGAAAGGTGTTTTCTTTGGCCAGGAGAAATGCTCCGCTTTAACACACCAAAACCTTCTGCTCTGGAGTCTGGAAGGAGTTTGGAGAGAGGCTCTTCTAAGGTCTAGTAATGGAGGAATGACAAAATGAAGTTGAATGAAAGCTGAAAATTGTGTTTTCTTTCTCTAGGGATCTTTCCAATAACAAGATCAGTGGTTTAGATGTTCAGATATTTGAAAGCCTGACTTCTCTGGCAAAACTGTAAGTACACACTGCACCCTTCCAGTCCTCCAGCTCACCGTGCACGTTTGAGCTGGTACCTAGAACACATGCTTGTGTTTCACAAGTTAGCCTTGTTCTTGCTTGACCTCATCTGTCGAGCCCCAGATAGATGTGTCCATGGACTCCTTCCTCAAGGCATTTAGCTGCACAGTCCAGTGATTCGCTTATTGGCATTCAGAGAGTTGGGCAGGATTTGACTTGCTGTACTGCAAGATGGAGAGGAGATCAAGGCAAGAGATTGAGATTTGTCACAAGATGTTTGTTAGTACATGGAAAATTATAAAACTGCAGTGTCCAAATCCCACTTGTCTTCAGAGGCAATTGGGTACGGAGTCTGAGGGTCCTTTGAGGAGCCTGGCAGAGGTGGGGGAAAGGGCCGATGTCCCACTGCTCCCCACACCTTGAGCTGTCCCGTTTCACTAAAACTACACAGACTCTGTCTGGGCCAGGAGAAGAGGAGAGCTTTGACCGTTAGCAAACTCACTGGTTCAGCTGCTGATCAGATGAGTTTGCACTGTTATGTGCTGATGGTTCATAGGGAAGATTAACTGTTTTTTAAAGAGTAATTGGACTGTCAGATCAAAAAAGGCACCAATACAGCAAGCCCCAAAACCTGATTTGGTGGTTCTAGCTGAGTACCTGGCAGCTTGGACAGCCTGCCATCTTCACACCTCAAAAATCTCCTAAAAGGAGGACTTATAGAAGGACTTGGAGCACTGGAACTGTATTTGAGCATGGGAACAGGCTACCTAAGGAGGTTGTGGAGTCTCCATCCTTGCAGATACACAAAAGCCCTCTGGATGTGGTCCTGGGCAGCCCATTCTAGGTGAACCTGCTTGAGCAGGGGGGTTGGACCAGGTAACTTCCAGAGGTCCCTTCCAACATCAGTCACACTGTCATTCCGTGACTTAGTGCCTGTCTGGGCATTTTGCTATCATATGCATGTGGCTTTTGAGACTCAAGGTGTTCAGAGGGTAACTAGTACCCAAGCAGAGCTTGGGACGAAGGTTGATCCTGTATGTTTGCCAGGAAGTTGTTACCAGCGTGATGAACTTTCCTTTTCATTTTCCCTCTTTTACAGAGATATAAGCCACAACAAGATTTCTACATTAGAAGATGGAATATTTGATAATTTATTTAATTTAAGTGAAATGTAAGTTCATCCTCTTTGTTTCCCAGTTCTTTATTTAGACCTTTCCTTGAAACAGCTCTTCCCTTCCTGGTGGTGTGGGATGCAGCGCTGTCTCGGGGAGACCTGGGGCACATACCCAACCAAGCAGCTGCCTTTTGTACTCTTCTCCAATTTCTTCCTCAAGCTGTGTCCTGCTCCTGGGTCCTGTTGGTGCCCTTCAAGCCTAACCTCTTCCTAGACTTTGCTTCTGTCTCCTGGATACCTCCAACCTCTGCCAGGGCCTTTTTGGCTTCCCTGCTTCTCTCCCACACCAGCTCTGCTGAGGTTCTTGTCTCTGGCTGTGGTCTGGGTCACACTTACTGTTCTGTTTGTATGGTCACACCTTGGGACTGGGAGATCTAACGAAAAGGGCACCGACCTGCAACATGGGAGACCCTGACTGAGGTGTCTAAGTCACTTGAAGGCACTTCAAGATGTTGTCCCTAAGTGATTCAAGTTCTTAGGCCTATAACTGAAGTAATTAAAATCTGTGCCATTATGTGAAGGGAGGCAAGGGGAAGCCACACATTTTCAGGAGAGATACATGAAGTTACAGCACAGAATGGCAGTTCTGTGTCTGAATGAGCAAAAGGATTAACCCCATGCAATTGCTTTTTGCAAGTAAGAAAAAAGCTCAGCCACACAGGACACAAAGGGCATTTTCAGCTCTGCATTTTTGCTTGCAAGTGGCACTGAAAAGACAGAAGGTCCAAATGAGTCTGTCCCTGCTAAGGCTGGTTGGCAAAGTGGTGCTTTCAGTATGAAAATCCGGGGTTCAGCCCCTGCGGTGGCCCGGCCCAGCTGGCGTCAGCTAAACAAACAGCTTTCCATCTCTGTCCTGTTCGCAGCTGAATGCCAAAGGCTGTAATTTGGATCAAGCTTAGCTGCAATTAAAGTTTCCATCTTTTCATTAAACTGCCACATGGAAAGATTATCATTGACTTTGCATTTCTTTTTTGACAGATCAATTTTATTCTCTTAGCTATTTTTTAATGGAGCTGTAAATAGTCTCCCTTAGCTGGAGAGGCTGCCATTACATCCAATGGCTGTTAGATGGCAGACTATTTTAAATATAAGATTGTGTCTGTAATTTGCTTCTAATTGCAACAATTATTTGTAGAGTTAAAAAAGTACTTGGAGTACTTGCCTAATTCTAGCCTCTAGAAAAATCATGTTAATTATTGCTTGATTCCCTATTCATTAACTCCCCTCGCGGTTCTTTCTGAAGCATTTCAGTGGAGTGGCACAGATGGGAACAGTGCGGGATCTGCACACTGCTGTAATTAACACTTCACACATGTCAAGTTAATGCCTAACTTTTGTCTGATCTCCCCATTACAGAAACTTAAGTTGGAATCCATTTGTTTGTGACTGCAAACTTTCCTGGTTGCCCCGTTGGGTGGAAGACAGAAAAGTGAAAGTTATTCAAGCGTCCGATACGAGATGCACCCACCCTCCTGAGGTGGCAAACCTTTCCCTCTTCGATGTCTTGTTCGTCAATGCTACTTGTGGTAAGGAAGCACTGGGGGCTGTGGTGTGGGAGATGACTAAACTGGTGGGAACAACGGGCCCAAGGGCAGCTGGGGATCACATCTAGACTTCTTTAGACCTCAAGTCACCAGTTCTAATCTAATTAAGCAAATAATGGTAGTGTATGACTGTACCCTCATGCCTTAAGGATTGAGTCGGTCACACCAGGGCTGAGATCAGCAAACTTGTTACAGACCAAGCTTTGGGCAGCCATCAGATGACGCTAGCTCCATGACCTCCAGCCTTAGGCTTTCATTCTCTCAAACTTTGAACAGTCTGACCTTAAGCAATGAAATCTCATTGGAGTCGATGGGACATGAGGACATGCTAAGTTGAATCTTTGCAGGTGACAGGGCTCCACGCTGGGAGTGTTGAATGGACACTGCCCGGATCTACAGCCCGTCGCCTGCTCTGGGTGCGTTTTTCTGACTGCCTTGGCTAGCAGAAATGTCGGGCAGTGTTTAACTGGAGAATGGGAAGGGGAAGCCCTAAGAAACCTAATCCTGCCTGGATGCTCAGCTCTCTTTGAGTAAGAGAGAGGGAGGGACAGTGAGTGCTCGCCCCTGCAGGCATCAGGCATCTCCTTTAATGCATGACAGGAGGATGCAGGGCTGAGGGCACCAGAGCTGGTGGGAGCCAGCTGAGCCGCCCGGTGAAGCGCGGTGCTCCCCAAGGCCAAAACCTTGGTGGTGGTTGCTTCTCCTTCCCGGGCAAAGTTACCCTGGCCTTGCAGCACCTTGCAGGAATTATCGAGGGGAATAACACCGGCACTGTTATTCCCCTTGATTAGAAAATTAGTTGTTCCCCTCTTGAACTACTTTAAGTTACTGTGGAAACAATAACGTGAGGCTGTCTTCTGGGTAATTCAGTGTAATGGGAGTAGGCTGGGGACAGCCTGCCAGCTACTGACAGTTGTTACTGACGGGCAGGGAATGAAGAAGTATGACCAGGCCAGTGTTAAAAAGCAAAGTGGTTCCCATGCTGTGGTCCTCCTCACGGGACTTTTCTTAAGAAAAGTGCCTCAACGTTTGCAGGAAGGCTGTGGAGAAAGCCGGACAGTTGGATGGATTTGATATGGGAAGATCACACAAGGCCGGAGCCGTTGAGATGTTTGGGGGGAGATGTTGTAGCAACCGGCAGAAACAGAAGAGCAAACACGGCTTGGTTGCGTGGGCAGAGCTGGAGAGGAGGCCAGGCAGTCCCAGCTGGGCTGCGGCTGTGCACGCGGCAGAGGCCCTGCCTGAGTGTTTGTGGCAGAGAAACATCCCACCCCTTGCAAGCCGGTGAGGGGGAAGTAAACCCAAGGGAATGAGCTGTTGCTCTGAGAGCGGGGCTGTTGTGGCTGCCATCATCGTACGTGCCTGCGTGTCCATGTGTGTATGTGTTTGTGCTCCCTGTAACCAGGCATAGGTTGTTTCTGTGCATCCGTCCCATGAACGCATGCACGTGCATCCTTCCACACTCCTCGGGTGCAGGCTCTGTGTGGCATTGCCCTCTTTTCTAGCACCAGATTTTGCCTGCAAGGAGGTGGGAAGCTCTTGGCTCTCCCCAAGGATGAAGGTGGCTGCAGCTTCTGCCCAGCTCCAGCGTGGGCCTGGTGGAGGGTCTGGTGGTGTTTCCCCTGTGCCCCTGATGTGCCACTCTGCCCAACTGTGTTTGGTTGTAGACTTGTTGCTGGAAGCCCCAGGCAGCATGCAGTGAAATGTGCTACACCAGACCAAGCTAAGGTACAGCCAAGGGACAACCTTTTCTCCGAGTCTCACTCAGTGGCTAGTCCTTTGAGGGTCAGACTCAGCGGCTCCATGTCCTATGGGACTGTCAGGCTCTCCAAAGACCCCTTTTATGTGCTAAGTGTTGCTGCTCCATAAATCTGTGTGACTGGCTTGTTATTTCTGTCATCATTAATTAGCATGAAGAGTTTGGAAATGGTTGCTGAGGGATTAAAGACTTCCCAGGCAAGTCTCAAAAAGGAAATGCTTGGAGTAGGAGCTGCCCAGGAGAAGTCCACTCCCAGGGGTAGTGGGGTGGTGTCTCTTGGAGGGTTTCACCAAGCCATGGCTTCATTGTCAGTTTGCAAGAGGATCTTCTGTTCTTTCTCCAGGAGCTCAATACGTAACGTGTCTGACAAGCAACCACACAGAAGGGGCTGAACTTGTCATCGTCTTCACATCTGTTCACTCTGGGAATCTCACTGAGGAGACGTGTGGTGCCCTCTGTTATGCTGAAGACCAGGAATATGGAGGTTTCAGCACCCAGGGGCAGTGTTTGTGTGGTACTGCCCATGAAACAAACTCTTCCTCCGGTTGTTTGCCATTTTGCACTGAGCATTTGTCTGGGCAGGACTGTGATGGCCCATCACTCGTCCCCTCTCCCTTCCAGGCACAGCTCCCTGTGTCTTTCACAGGACTCCAGCCCCGGTACAGCCTACACCAGGCCGTGCTCTTCAATGTCAGTATTCCCATTGCTGTCAGCACTTTACTGTGGGAATTTGGGGACCAGACAGAGGTTCTCAACACCACTGGAAATGTAGCTGTCCACATGTATGCCTTACCTGGGCAGTACAATGTCACTGCCACCATCTTTGTGGGCACCAAGGTCTTACACGTGCAGGCAGAAATTGAGGTGGTGGCTTCACCCCAACAGTTAGAACTGCAGTGTCCATCCTTGGTCAAGACGAATGAGAGTCTGGACATACGGATCCGCAACAGAGGTGGCACTGGCCTCACGGTGTTGTATGGTATCACCGCAGAGGCTGGAGAGCTGGGCAGAGGTAAGCAGGGTTGGCTGGGTGGGTGCTGGGCAAGGGAGGGGTGGCACTGGGTCCTGGGACTTCCCTTTCCCTTCCTTCCTAACAAGGAGTAAGGGATGACTCCTTCGGGCACTCCTTGCTCCCCTGACTGACCAGGCAGTGTTTTACACTGTCCTGGACCAAGAAGATGACTGCACAGAGCGTGCTTCAACAGCAGAGGGGATTTATGGGCTTCAAGAAGGACGGGACATTCCTGGAGCCTCGCTCCCCAGATTGGGTTGGGGTGTGAGGGCCTGCAGAAAGGACGTCATGTTTGTGTTGTTCTGTCTTCTGCAGCAGTTCACCCCATGTGTCCCCCGGATGGCTTGGTTTTCCCGGGCAATAACCACTGCTATCAGCTGGTGGTGGAGAAGGCTGAGTGGCTGGAGGCGCAGCAGCACTGCCAGGAGCATGGCAATGGAGAGCTGGCTTTTGTGAGCAGCCCTGAGATCCAGAGCTTCTTGGTCGCTCATGTCATCAGGTAAGCGAGGAGGGTAAGGGTTAAGACTTCCTAGGGACAGGTCTTGTGTTCCTGGGGTCACACCTGCAGAGGGGTCTGGAGGGAGGGTTCCTGTGCAGCCAGTCAGGCTGGAGAGACACTCGGGTCCAGGCTGAGTATGGGGAGATGGTAGGAGTGAGGCTGCTGAATAAAGAGGAGGAATAAGCAGAGCTTGAGCCCTTGTTGAACTTGGCTTCTTTGCTTAAAGGCTGTGGAGGGAAGAAGAGGAATGGAGCAGAAAGGCTGGGAGTCAGAACCGGGAATCGTGGGGTTGCTGCTGGTGGGCATCTTGTACCCTACGTTTGTGCCTGTGGGTGCATCTGAAATGGTGCAGGGTCAGGAGCAAGTGTGGCTGGACAGACCTTCCCCCTGGGAGTTCAGCAAAATCTGCAGGCTCGGGTTGGGCAGTGGAGAGGGGCAGGCGCTCGTGTCCACGAGGGTGTTTGGCTGCAAAGCAGGGCCTGAGGGTGACCTTGCAACCAGCTCCCTCCATCAGCAGAATTACAGCTGGATTATCCCATGTGTGACACCGTGGCATCGAGCAGCCGCTCTAGTAGAGCCCAAGCCAGTGCTGCAGTCCTGCCTCCCAGCTGGGATCCTGCACCCTTCCAGACATGGCTGCATCCTGAAGCCCAGACCTCTTCCCCTCTTCTTTCGCCTCTTGAGAAGGAGCAGTGCTCCTCTCCGAGTATCAGGCTCCAGCAGCATCTGTTCCACCTCAGGACTTGAGCTTTATAAACAGAGAGCACTGGAAGTGTCAGCCTTTGATTAAATCCGCCCCTCTAAGTGCCCTTTCTGCAACCAGCCATCTTGGGAGGGAGGACGACCAGGAGAGCTTTCAGGGGCCTGACAGCTCTTGTCAGCACTCCCAGATGCAGATGTTGGAGATGGCCTCTTAATAAACACAGCCCAGAAAGCACATGGAAGGGAACAGCTGCATGTGACGTAGGCTTTGAATGGTTCTGCTGAAGGTCTGACAGCCCCTTCTTCCTAAAGTTGTATCCTTGCCCTACTCCCTTCACACTGGGGTTTATCCTGAGATGGCAAATGTGGTCGCTGCTCTGGGGAAGAGGAGTCTGTCCATTTCCACAGGTTAGAAACTGGTCACTTGGTGCTCTGATTTATCAGGCTTTGCGTGCAGGGCTTTTGATGGACTGCAGTACAAGGAAATCATGAGACCTCAGAAGGGAATGAGCTGCCCCAGCTGCTGCCCCACGTTGCTCTCCTCTCTGACCCCCTTTATTTCATGTATTTATTTTATTAATCCATTCAGATAAACATGAATGAGGCAGTTCCAGGATGCGATTTCCCTGGCGATAAAAGACAAATCAACTGAGCCGCAGGTTTTTGGAACACTCAGCCTCCATAGTTTCTTGTGGGAAAATGACAGAAGCAGAAATCTGTTTCCCATTAGAGCATGCAGCAGTGAGGACCACTCTCTCCTCTCCTTCGCTCCAGTCATTCTGTGGCCTCCCCAGGAGCAGCATGTGCTGAGCTGGTCCCCTCCCCACCTCCAGAAACCCACACCCTTTCCAGGGGACCCCACTTTCCCCTCTGAGGCAGCGCAGGGAGCCCCTCTCCCCGTCCGAGCCTCCTCAGGCTTTGTTCTGCTCCTGCTGCCCCAAGCAATGCAGCTTGGTCCTTCCTCAGAGGCAGAGGGATGCTCACATCTTCCTTCAAAAAAGGATGTCTAGAGTCCTCTTGTTCCTCTCTGCAAGGTAATGGGCCAAGCAGTGGGGCAGGGGTGGGAAGCAAGCCAGCCAGCCTTTTTCTTTTTTTTTTTTTCTTCCTTCTTTTTCCTTCCCCCCCCCCTTTTTTTTTTTGGTGTCTTGCAGTTAAATCATAGCTGGAATTAGAAAAGGAAAATCTCTACCAAGTTTTACTGATGGCAGCAAACAGGCGGTTTCGTAGCCTGTTCTCCCTAATCCCCTGCCAGTGGTTCGGGAGCAGAGCACAGCGGTTATTTATTTTTTAATCTTATTTGCAATGAAAACTACTGATTCACGGAACAGTTATTTTCGTTGTCATTTTTCAGCATGACCTCATGAATCATTTCATCTGGCGTGAGCCTAGTGGTGGAGAGACACCAATTATCTCCCTGGTCTGCTTTTTGCAGAGTTGTACCACCCTGGGAGCACACTGGAGCGGAGGGGCAAGGCCATAGCAGAATTGATTGCAACCTGTGGGAGGGAGCGTGGAGAAGGAGCTGGGGACTTTGGGGGTGCCTGATGAGGCTGTTCCCCCCGCCCCCCTCCAAAGTTAATAAGGAACAAATGCCTCACTTTCTGCTGGGTGCGATTAGAAACAGTTGTCCAGGCTGTTTGTGGCTATGAAAGACTGCTCAGCACTTTCCACCAGAATCTCTGCTGGGATTCAGCCAGTTTCCAAATGTGGAAGGGACATTTCATCTTCCTAAAGTGATCCTGGCCTTTTCTTGTGTATGTGGGGTTCATCTGCCTGCAGGGCTTTGGCATCTGCTGCCGGCGTCTTGTCCCCCCAGTGGCTGCTGCCTTTCAGCGGTGGCTGAGGAGCTGACGATCTCCCAGCAGCTGCATCAAAGCGAACAGGAGTTCCCGTACCTGGCACCGTCCGAGGTTTAATCCTGCACTGGTGCCAGTTCCACTTGCAGTGGAGAATTGGCTAGTGGCAAATTCCACAGGTCTGCAGAGATGAAGCACAAAAGTTTTCTAAAGGATGCAGCTTTTTCAGACAGTTTTGTATGACCACACCATTCCTCTTAAGTCATGACTCAATGCAGGCTTAAAAGTGTCTGTGAGGGTCATTTAAACTGCAGTGCAGGTAGGCCATTTTAACAGACTGCTCTCCTTAGAGGGGTCTGAGGTTCTAGTCAACGTGCTGATACTCCTTAGTCTGCGGATAGTCCCACTTCCCCGTATTGTGCAGGGTTTACTCCGCCATGGGGGAGAGCTGGTCTCAGCCCTGCCAGCACCCACGGGTGGCCGTCAGCCCTCGGTGCCCGCTGGGAGGGGACGCCAGGCGGCATGGTGGTATTAATAAAGATATTAATATGAAGGAAGCAACTCCAACTTGGGGAAGCAGAAGATGTGCAGTTAGAGGGAGTCCTGGGAATTTCTGAACACAATAAAACTTTGTGGTTCTCTCCAGCCAGTGTCACCTCGTGCCTGTGTTTCATTACCCTCTCTGATATCTTTGTGCTGTACCAGTTGTGGCTGGTATGCATCAGTGCTTACCAGTATCTCATGAGCTCTGTGGTGCTGGTGGAGCCTTTAACTGGGTCCTCTTGTAACTGGAGCGAGAGAGACTGGCATTTTGGGAATGGGGTGGCTCAAGTTGTGGGGCAGTGATCACCAAGGGTCTGACTTGGCGGCACACAGTGGTCCCCTGAGCTGCTTCTCTCTCCTGGCTCCACTGCACTGTAGTGTTGGTGTTGATTGCTCTGTCTGGATCCTTTGGGCTCAGGATGGCAAGCCGTGAAGGAGCTGCTACTGAAGAGCCAGGTACTGGTGGTAGAATGGATACTGAAATCCTTTAGTAACTAAAAGGCTTTGTTAAATGCAGCCTGTGACGCATGGATGAAGCTGTTGTTGTTAAGATTATTTTCATTGAGAACCATAGATGGCATCTGTCCCAGATCTTTCTAATACTCATAGTTTCCTGAAATCCCCCCTCTTTTTATTTTTGAAGGAGCCTTGATGTCTGGATTGGATTCAATGATTTTGCAAGCACTGGAGCGCAGCAAAGAGGTGAAGGATTTAATCTGGAGAGCTGTCAGAACTGGCTGCCGGGAGAACCCCATCCGTCAAACGCTGACCACTGTGTCCGGATGGGCCCAACGGGCCAGTGTAACACAGACCTGTGCATGGCCAAGCACAGCTATGTCTGCGAGTACAAGCCAAAAGGTGGGCTCTGCTTCTTCTCCACTGTCTGCTGGCATCGTGGGCAGGCAGGTATCCTGCTCAGTGGCATGTGCCAAGGAAAAATAGGGCTTCATGGAGGGGTCATCCAGAGCATCACCCCAGATCAATTTGGACTGGCAACAACCACAATATTCCCAACAGAGGCTTCACTGATAAACTTTCAGAAACCTGGCCATAGCCCGAAGGGAAGAATTTGGCCCACTCCAATCTTTGCCATCAATAGAAGTAGAGAGAGGAGTGAAGCTCAGAGGCAGAGCTTTGGAAATAGCTTTTCTCTCTTATTTGAGCAGTCTCTGCTGCTGCTGCCAGGACCCGAGGCCATGGTGCTGCCTTGGTGACTCTTGCTGTCCTTCTGTGCATCTCATAGTTTGCGAGGTGTTGGGGTCTTGTGACTTAAAAGACTATATGGCCTTGGAGATCATTAGGTGAGCTTTTATGTGGTGTGCGCTGTGCAGGTTTGTGTTTATGCAGCCTTCCAAATCTCCTAAAGTGGTGTAGGGAGTAAGAAAGAGAAGCAGAAAGGGCATGAAATACAGGAGAAGGTTTAGGTAAGAAGAAAAAGCCATCGCTAGGAAGAGCGCCCACTGGCCCTGGTAGGAGGGACAGCATCAGCTGGTTGTTCTCAGTCCCCAGAGCCTGACGTGGCTATGAATGAGCCAGAGGTATTTGCCACTGGTGGAAACCAGCTGGTCCTGGCCACATTTCCTATAAAGTCCAGGGGGACGGGGAGGATGGGGAGTGCACCTCGTGCTTAAAAATTCAAAGCAAATCATGAGGTATTGGAAGGGAGAAGTATTTGCTGAGTTCCTAGAAGTCAAAATTGCTGAGAACTGGAAATGCAAACATTACTTGTGCAGGATGAGAAAGAAATCAAAACACCTGTAAGAAGAAGAAGGAAACGACAGGATTACAGCAGCTACTTCTCCCAGTAAAGCTGGAGTTACAGATTCCTGAGTGGCCCAAGCCCTGCTACACCTTTGCTGCATGGTGCGAGCAAGCATGAGCAGGGTGGGGGGAAAAGCTTCAGACCTTGCTGAGTCTCGTGGGCTTTGTTCACATATTTCCTTTTTAAACAGGAGTTCTCTTAAATGCCGAAAACTTCCTTGTGGGAGACCCTGTGTTTGACACACATGAGGGTGTGAAGAATGTGACAGAAGATGTGCTGTCAGCTCCATGGCAAGCTGTGGAGGTAAGAAGGGTTTGCTCATCCTGCTGCTGCAGAGCGAGCCCTGGGAAACGCAGGCAGGTGAGAGCCTGGTTTTTTTTGCAGGTGATGGTGTTCCCTGAGCTGGCATTCAGGCACGAGGGATATTTGTCTGCCCTGGAGTTTGTGACGCAGGAACTGCATCAACCCGTTCAAGTGAGGTTCCAGGTGCATAGACCGATAGATGGAGAAGGTGAGGCATCTCCTCTCGACACTTGTGGTATTGTTAGAGCTGATGCCATCAGGGCCGTGTCAAACTGCATGTTTGTGGCCTTCTTGTGGCCCCTCTGTCTTCAAAGCAGAAGCTTTGAAGCCTTAAAGGCTCAAGTTATTCTGTTCTATTTTTTGAGGACATTAAAGTACAAAATCTGCAGGCATGTTTGGACAGCCTGAGGTTGCCTTGGGCAAGTGGTTGTCCTGGAGAAATTAATAGAGGGAGAAATCTGTCTCAATGCGTGAAGAAAATGTGAGTGTAAGGAACATGTGTAGAAGTGAATTAATCTTCTGAGCTATATTTTATTACTTTGGGGACACATGACAAGTAAAATGGGAATGTGTTCTGGTCCATCTGGCCCCACAGGTTAACAAGGAAGAACATTGTCCTGAGCCCATTTCTTCCTGATGGATGAGATAATCTAATAAGCCTTTTATTACTTGTACAACAGCTCAATAGTCACAGTTTTGGCAACAGTTAATTTTGCAGCACAATGTTTGCTATGGCCATAGGGTTGGCTGGTTACAAAAGGATATTTTTTGACACTGAAAAGCTGATACCTTGACATGGAAACATTAACTTAAGAAAAGTTGCTTAATATGTTTTCAATGTCAAAGCCAGCTCTGCTTTTGCTTGGACTTGCTTTTGCTTGAACATAGATCTCTTTTAGATTGCAAATTGGTGTGTCCTCACTGGAAAAGAAACCAACTTTGTTTTTAACGATCTTCGTGCCTTTGTGAAATTTTCCAGTAAAACAGGACACTTGTCTTGCATAGCACCAGGATGTGTTGCAGTTGCAACTTTTACTAAGAGTGGAGCCATGGTCAGTCAAAATGGAAAAAAATTGTGAATCTGGAGCAAAGGAGAAGTGCACTAGAAGTGTTACTTGTCAGAATGGTGATTGTTGCTTTCTCTTTCACTTCTTCAGACTACCAGGAGGGAAAAAATGCTACAGAACCATTCCACACTGCTCAGGATGATGGGAACTGGACGCTACTTGACTGTCCTCCTGGTTTCCACTGGTGTCATTTGACTAATTTGTGCTCATCACTAAACAACTGCTGCAACATGACCGAGTGTGCCAACAGTTCTCTTGCCAGCAGCTCTGCCCCCGTTTCCCTTCAGCACAATGAAAGTCAGCTCAGCTATGAACTCATCAAGGAATTTTTCTTTACAATACCAGCTGGCCCTTCTTCCCAGTATCTGGTCAGTGTTTATTAGCTGCTGTAACCAGTGAGTAGGTGGGGCAGTTTTCTCCTGAGTGCTTTGGGTAAATAAAGAATTGTTCCCAATTTGCAGATGGAGATACTGAAGTCCATTCAAATGAAATTACTTGCTCAGTGTCACACATGCTACCTCTTTCTGTCTCCCCCACTCTAAGCCATGGACTCCCTGCAGTAACCTGTTGCAATAGCGCAGTTGGTCAAAAGGCTGTGCAGATTTTCTGGGCTATTCCTATTGCACTTACGCAGTGGAGAGAGAGCATAAAGCTGACTTCTGTGTTAGCACATTTTATTCGGAGTGGCCAAGGACAGCAGAGTGGTGAAATGTCTCCCCATGCTGTGTTTGGATCTGTGGCTTTTCTGTTGGTTTCCACTTGGCAGTAAATCCAACTGACTTGTCCAGGCAAGAGTTGGGCGCTGAGTGCTCTTAACTTGAGGCATTAATCCAAAAATGTCTCCTCTCTCTGCAGGTCACATTCCAAAAAGAAGATGTTTTTGTCAGGGCTGAGGATGTCTTCAGTATCCAGCACGATGCAGACTTGGGCTTACTCCTCCAGTGCCAAGCAAGTACCACATCCCCTTACAGAACCAACGTCTTAAGCATGAACTCTTCAGAGTGGGCACTTGGCCTGTCTGATGGCTTCATTGGTGACACCTGGATAAACAACACTGTTTGCTCTCTCCGAGTTCGCTATGCCGAGGAACAGCTGGTCTCGGTGATCAGCCCCCACAACGCGGGGCTGGAGCATCCAGGTCGCTACACGGTCAGAGCCAGCGTGGACAACGGGGTCTTCAGCGCCAATCTGTCTTGCAGTTTCTGGGTGACTTCATGGGTGTCAGGCCTGCGGGTCATCCACCCCGCTCCTCAAGGTGGCAGGGTCTACCTACCATCCAACCACACTACCCTGGTTGTCAGACTCTCCTCAGGGCTGAACGCGACAGCTAGCTGGCTGGGGGACAACCGCACCTTCCCCTTCGAGGGGTCCTGCCCAGCGGCTGTTAAACTGCTGACGGCGGACTGTGCCAGGGAGACCAACGACACCTGGTTTGCTGTGGTCAGCCTGAGTGGCCTCAGGGAGGGGGTGAGCACCCACGTCCTTGTTGCAGAGAACGCCGTGAGCTCCCAGAACATCACTGTCACGGTGAAAGTGGAGGAGCCCATCCGCGGGCTGCGGGCCACCCCTGACCCTGAGAGCAGAGTCCTGCTAAATACACGAGTGGTGAGTGATTACTGCTGCTTTTAATTCGTCGGTAGCTTTTTTAGCCTTTACTGCTAACGGTGTGGGTTTGGCTCGTGAGGAGGGCTGGGGCTCGGCTCCACACTGGTTGGGTGTAGCGCTGCTTGCTGCTAAGCGCCGGCTCCCAGGCCATGCAGACAGAGCTGCTGCAGGCACAGGCATGTGGCAGAAAGCACTGGTGCTCTCCAGCAGGAAGGCAGCTCAGCTATACGTTCACTTTAATTCCCTCAGAGGTAAGGCAGTACCTCCTGCCGGGGGGGGATACTGGCTTTCCAATTCCACAGAAAACCGGAGGCATTATGAAAGGCCAGTATTTACCTTCTTTTGACTTGTCAACTTCCTTTAGGTGTTTAGATTTGCTCTACTAAATCCTTACATCAGTTGGCTGAAGCTATAAAAATGTTTCATCCATCCTTCAAAGTCTTGGAGTTACTCTGGTGTTTGCGGTCTTTTTTTTCTCCAATCCCCTGTCCCCAGAGCTACAGCCGAGCCCTAGGAGCCTGTTGAATAACTGCCCATCGGTATCTGTGAAACGCTCTGTTCAACCTCTGGCTGCTTATGGCAGAACCCTGTGCCTGCAATGCCTGTTGGTCTCACCCTTCCTGGCTGCCATGGTCTGCTCAGGAGGCACTGTAGGAGTGAGGAGGGAGCCTGCCCTGTCCAGTGCAGGTCAACCATTTTTGCCTTTGGGTCAGGCACCATCAATGGACAAGGGTCAGAGACTCAGCTTACAGGCGTAGCTAAAGCTGAGTTGTTTCTGCAAAGATAACAGAAAGTTTTTTAGCCAGCAAGAAAGAGAGCTGATCACAAGAGCCGAGCACTAGGGTGTGGGAGCAGGCAGTATGGGTTCTGCTCCCTGCTCTGCTGTTGATTTATGGAGTCAGGGTCTGCATTTCTCTACCAGCAGCAAAGCCACAGATGATCTTGCGCCTCTGTGTCATGCTCTGAGGGCGCCGTCTTGTAGATGTGTGATGCCTCCCAGTCTGGCTCTGCTCCTCTCCAGTTCAGCTGGAGATCTCCTGGGAAGTGCTGTGCATGCTTTTCTCTTGCACTAGTATAAAATGTTCTCATACCTTTCAGAGCTACATCCCTGTGATGGAAGCTGGGTCAGATGTGACTTTCCGATGGACAGTAGATGATAAGCCATCTTTCACTTTTTACAATGTTGTCTTCAACGTTATCTACCAAAGCCCAGCTGTGTACAAGCTTTCGGTAAGCCAAGGCCTTTCCCATTTCAATCCTGGGTTTCCATCTCATCCCACAAACTAAGCAGGGAAAGCAGCAGGGAGAGTAGAAGGCAGAGTTGAGTTGAGGAGATTTTCACTGTGCTCCTAACAAGCTCTTCTGCTATTTCTCACTGACCTGCTCTTGCAAATGCAAATAGTAATTTTCTTGCTATTCTTCCATTACAGCTGACTTCGCTGTCTTCCTTGTCTTTGCTTTCTTCTCTTTTCTCCATGTTCTCTTTTATGTTCATGGAGTGTCTGTCCTTCCTCCTCCCCAGCAGGAATGAGGCAGGGAGCCCCCACGACAGGGTGCTGGCTGCTGCTTTGGCAGGGAGGAGATATGGATTCAGAACCAGGCAGAGGCAGGATGCAAACTAAGACTTTCATAGGCAGGACAGAGCTTCTGCCACAAGCTCTTCTGGTCTCTGTCCTGTTCTCTTTCTACTGGTGCAGACTGGAACACTGGGTTTTGTCATGACCCCAGAAGAACGATAGAGCAGAGAGTCTGGGCAGAGAGAGGTAGGTATTTGTTGTGGAATAGGAGTCTATCACTGGCCAGAACATCTTTCTGTATCATGCCCTGTACTGCCATGCAGAGTCCTGGTCTGGCTCCAAGCTGCTTGATCCATTTGCAGGGTAACTGCTGGCTTCCTGAAGAGACACCAGCCCTAGCTCCAGGGACATGCTAGCACTAATTTGCTTGGTGCAGCACTATGCTGAGTAGCACTAATTTGCTGGGTGAAGCACTGTGCTGACAAGCCTGGATTGCTTTCACTTACAGAGCTGACAAGGTGGCATTGGTCTGGGGTCCACTGGGTTCAGTGTAACAGATCCACAGAAGTCGAGACACAAACTTCTTTTATCTGTTGGGGTGGGAGGTCCCTATTCAGCTGGGTTTGAAGGAGCAGCAGCTCCTTCTGTCAGCAGCTCAGCTCTCCTGCAGGTGAGGAGGTGACAAGATGCTTCGTCATTAGGTGCCACGTCACTGTAACATGCTTAGATAATCTTGAGGATCCTGTTCTACTTTTGTCATGTCTCTTCAGTCTCTTGTGTCCCTTTCCCTCCTCTGCCCAACTTTGCTCTCCTTCTCTGTGCCCACTACACCTAAGGTGCTGGAACTGCACGTGGCATGCTTGGGTTTTGAGTCTCTCCTATTCCCACTCTGTGCTTGGAGCCACTCGTCTGCCGCTGTCCTAAGGAAACTGGGTGGCTTTTGCCCCCTTGGTGGCAGCAAGTGCCTGGGCACAGCAGCTGGAGACAGTGTGCGGGGCACATTGGAGCAGGCAGAAGGGTAACTGGCAAGTTCAGAGCCAAAGCAGTCTCAGGATGAGAAGCTCTTCTCCTTGCCCTCTTGCTGTAGAAACAGTCCTTCCTTGGACTGACTTTAATGGTGGAGATGTGGTGGTTCCAGCAAGAGGTGGCTTCACCAGGTAGGTGACCTTCCAGTCACTGCTGCTTTCCAGTGCCATTCAGGCTGTTGCCCCTGCCTCCCTGTCCCACAGGCTACTCTTCTTTGACCTAACCTGCTTGCCTGCCTGGGGGGACCTCTTCAGTACTGTGAAGCCCCACTCTCAGGAGAGGGCAGCGTGGCAAGGTGATCCCAAATGCATTCTTTATCCCACTGTCCTTCCCAGCTCACCGCCTCCAACCACGTCAGTAACTTTACGGTCAATTACAATGTCACGGTGGAGATGATGAATAAGATGAAGAACCTGACTGTGTTGGGTGTCCTGCCAGTCCTCCCTCAGAACAGCACCGTGGAGCTTACAGCAAGAGTTCAGATTGATTCAGCTGTGGATGCTCTGTTCCTGTGAGTCCTTTGCAAGTTGCCCGAACTTAGGATCTTACTGTGCATAGCTTACCAGTCTTGCCTGCACTATTTCTCTTCCCAGGGCCTGCTGATGTCAAATGGCCCATTTATCAGCTGCTGTCTAGTTAATTTGAAATCCCTGCAAGCATGGTTCAGTCATGCTGGCTGGGACCTATAGTTCAGGCTGAAATACTTTTTTTTTAAAGGATTGCAATGTTGCTTTAATATTGGGTTCCTCTTCTTCTTACCAGTGCTGTACTCTTCTCACAGTGACAATTCTGCAGCCTTGGGCACAGCTACTGCTTTGATATTTGGCATTATGCTTCCTATGGTTTTTCTGGAAAACCCAGCCCTGAGCCTGAAAGACAGCCCTAGGCCAGGCCAGGGTTCCTCTGGGATTTCCATGATTCTCATGTTGTGCAGTGTAACATGGTTTGCATGTTTCTCCAGGTGGGATTTTGGAGATGGTATCCAGGAGACGTACCTGTTCAAACCTCCCTACAACAAGTCTTTCCTTGTGCCTGATCCCAGTGTCCATGAGGTTGTAATTGAGCACAACGTTTCACACGTCTATCAAGACCCAGGTATGCTTGGGACGGTTGTTTGGGAAAGAAGGGGCGTGGGCATTTTTCTTGCAAAGAGGGTACAAGGCACCTTCCAATAAAACAGTGGCTTGAAAGTCATTACCTTGTTCCTGAGCAAACAGCCAGAGTGACTGGAAGTCTCTAGCAATTGCTATCCTCTGTAACTGTTTCTAGGAGAAGTTTGTAAGAAGCAGGTCGACCACACAGAGTCCCCTTTTGGGGCAGTCTCAGCAGACAGAGGAGTGGCAGGCGAGCTCCATGCTGATGGGAGCAGGGGTAGGAACCGCTACTGCGGGCAGCAGGAAGGGGATCTGTTTTGTGAGTGAATAGAAAGAAAATCTTTTCTCTGTGTCTTGTCGGACTGGCTTCTTAATTGGTGTTTGGTCCTCACATGCATGGCCTGGTTGTAATTCCTGCTTGTCCTGGACCGGAGGAGGGAGGCCGAGGGTGCGCGCAGTGCAGGAGCGAGTATCTCCCTGCAGTGCCCCGTCACGCTGCCCACATTGCTGCAGCACTGAGCAAGCTGTTGCACAAGCATGTCCTCACAACTGGTCTTTTTCTGCTCTCTTCCAATGCAGGTGAATATGCCCTGGTGGTTATTGTGTCCAACCAGTTTGAGAACCTCACCCACTTGACCCCAGTTCACATCTACAGTTATCTGATTGATGTGAAGATGGAAGCAGAGGAGGATGTTTTAGTTGTGAGCCGTCCGGTCACCTTCAGAGCCGATCCGTTGCCGTCTCCTTATGGTGTCGTGTACACCTGGGACTTTGGGGATGGGTCCTCACTGTTCACAGAGAGCCAGTCTACAGTGACATATAGCTACCCCAGAAGAGGGGTATACAACATCACTGTGACAGCGAACAATACCATAAGCAGTATGGAGACGGTTGAGTGCTACCAAGTGTTTGAAGAGATAACTGGGCTCCGTGTTTCCGCAGATGAGGCAGCAGAGCTGGGAGCATCTGTGACCATTAATGCCTCAGTGCAGACGGGGGACAGTATCACCTGGATATTCGATATGGGGGACGGGACAGTGCTGAGGAGTCAGGTGCCAGTGGTGGAACACGTGTACATAAAGGACATCAACTGCACTGTGAACGTGACAGCTGTGAATCCTGTGAACTCTGTCTCCCAAACTGTGCGTGTTCGGATATTTGTCCTGGAAGTACTCAAAATAGAGCCTACTTCTTGCATCCTTGAGCACCCAGATGTGCAGCTCACTGCATATGTGACAGGGAATCCTGATGAATACATCTTTGATTGGACTTTTGGAGATGGCTCGTCCAATGTCACAATCAGCGGGGACCCTGTGGTGATGCACAACTTCACCCGAAGTGGGACTTTCCCCCTCTCCCTGACTCTCTCAAGCAAGTTTAACAAGGCTCACTATTTCACCAGCGTCTGTGTAGAGCCAGAGATAGTCAACGTCACCCTTCTCCTTTCCAAGCAGTTCATAAGGCTTGGTGAAGAGAGCAGCTTCCAGGTCAGTGCTGTGCCTCTCTACCAGTACCGCTACCGCTGGGATTTCGGGAACAATGAGTCCACTAGATCGAGTGGGACTGAGGTGACCTACACCTACAAGAACACAGGAGTCTTCCTGGTCACAGTGACCGTCTCCAACAACGTCTCTTTCAACAATGACACAGCGTTTGTGGAGGTTCAGGAACCAGTTGGGGTAGCAAAGATTGAATATAACGGGACGAGTGTTTTGGAGCTGAACCAGATCTACCTGTTCTCTGCCAGCATGAATGGAACCAAAGTGAGTTACTGTTGGGACTTTGGAGATGGCACTACCCAGCCTGGGCAAATCGCTACCCACTCCTACAACAACACAGGCCATTACACTATTAGTGTGATGGGCCGGAACGATGTGAGCTTTAACGAGACCATCATCGACGTCGAAGTGAAACGTCGGCTCCATGGGCTGACCATCAATGCCAGCAGGACAGTGGTGCCATTAAATGGTTCGGTGAGTTTTGTAGCCACACTTGCAGCTGGCAGTGCCATTCGCTACTCGTGGATCCTCTGTGATCGGTGCACTCCTATCCAAGGGTCCTCCACAATTTCCTACACTTTCCGGTCCGTGGGTACATTCAATGTAATTGTGACAGCAGAGAACAAGATCAGCTCGTTGCAGGACAGCATCTATGTCTACGTCCTGGAGCAGATTGAAGGCCTGCAGGTGGCTAGCAGTGACCTGGTGGAGGACATCTATTTCCCAACTAACAAAACACTCCATTTGCAGGCAGTAGTGAGAGAGGGAACAAACATCTCTTACAGCTGGGTAGCCCAAAGGGATGGCAATGCTGTGCAGACCTTCACTGGGAAAACCTTCTCCTTGAGCATCCTAGAAGCTGGAAACTACACTGTCTATCTGAAAGCCACTAATATGCTGGGATGTGCAACTGCTAACAGAACACTGGAGTTCATCGAAAGCATTGGTCTTTTAAAGCCTTATGCCTTCCCAAACCCAGTTGCTATTAATGCTTCTGTTAACATAAGTACCGCCATAACCAGTGGCACTGGCATCACATACGTTTGGTACCTAGAGGATGGCTTCTCTCCTGTTACCTCTGAACCCTTTATTATACACTCCTTCCAAAGCCCTGGAGTGATAGAGGTTGTCATTGGGGCAGAAAACAAGCTGGATTCAACCAATGCAACAATTTGTATCTGGGTAGAGGAGGTCATAGAGGGGCTGAGTATAGGGACTGCAGAACTGGACTGTAGATATGTCTCATCAGGCTCCACGGTGGTCTTCGAGGGAGAGCTGCAGCAAGGGACTGAAGTGACATGGCTGTGGGAGGTGCCAAATGGCACATTGACTGGCCAGTCTGTGGCAGTCATGTTCCCCACAGCAGGGTTTTATACAGTCTATTTGAATGCATCGAATGACATCAGCTGGGCTCTGGCCAGCAGGAATATCTCTGTGCTGGACAGGATTCAAGGACTGGAAGTTCTTGCCAGCAAGAAGGTGGTGGAGCCAGGGGAACAGGTCACCTTTGTGATCAGGATGTTGTCAGGTACCTCTGTGAGTTACTTGGTGAGCATAAGTGGGGACTACTCTGTGGTGCTCAACGGGTCCAAGTACACGCATGAGTTCACCAAAAGCGGTGATTATTTGGTGACTGTGACGGTGCAGAACCAAATCAGCATTGCACATGCCCAGGTGCTCATCTCTGTCCTGGAGGCCATCCGCAATGTCAGGCTCCTGAACTGCTGTGAGGAAGGCATACCCACGGGCACGGAGAAGAGCTTCAGTGCCCAGGTGGAAAGTGGCTCCCGTGTGTCATTCTCTTGGCAGTTCTCCCTGTGGAAAGAGCAAGGCCAGTCCGTGGTCACTGTGGCAGGAGAGAGTGTTTCCTACACTCCGGAAGCTGCAGGTCTACTCGAGATTCACCTCAATGCTTTCAATGACTTGGGAGGTATCAATATCACCAGAACCATCCAGGTCCAAGACCCGATAGTCCAAGTCTCCCTCACTGCCTCCAATGCCTTTGTCAACAGGACAGCACTGTTTGAAGCAGTGGTGGTGCCCAGCAGCAGGAGTGTTGAGTTCTTGTGGACCTTTGGGGATGGCTCTTCCACTCAAATGACCAGGGTTGCGGTGGCCAACTATTCTTACCTGAGCCCTGGGGATTACCTGGTGGAGGTGAATGCCACCAATCTCATTAGCTTCTTCATAGCCCACCTCACTGTCACTGTGAAAGTCCTGGAGTGTGAGGAGCCAGAGGTGGAGTTAGCCTTGCCCCCTCAAGTAGTCATGAAGCGGTCCCAGAGGAATTACCTAGAGGCACAGATTGACCTCCGAGGATGCATCAAGTACCAGACGGAGCACCTGTGGGAGATCTACCGAGCACCCAGCTGCATGAACTTGGATGACTCCAGCAGGATCCGTCTGCCAAATGTTGATGTGAACAGGCCCCAGCTAGTTATACCAAAACTTGCCCTGGAAGTTGGGAACTATTGCTTCATCTTTATTGTCTCCTTTGGAGATACCCCACTGTCCAAAAGCATCTTTGCCAATGTAACTGTGATACCAAGTAAGCTGGTCCCGATCATTGATGGGGGGTCATACCGTGTATGGTCCAACACTCAGGACTTAATCTTGGATGGGGAGAAATCCTATGACCCGAACTTGGATGATGGTGAACAGACTCCGTTGTTATATGATTGGTCTTGTACATTCTCCTCCAAGGTAAGAGCGGTTTTGCACAGCCAGAGGGGGTGATCACTGGGGAGCTCCAGCTGCTTGTCAGCTCCACTACAAACACGTGTCTGGGATGAAATGGTGTTGAGGGAAGCTTTTGTGAGCATCTTTAACAAAGCTGCTCCGGAAGGAGGGTTGCAAAGGTTTCCCAATTCACAGCTCAGGATGATGCTGCAGAAATTGCTGTGAAGAGTTATGCAGTGCAGCCTGCTGCAGTCCAGTGCTGCACAGTGTCCCTGTGCACGGCAGAAGCGTTGGCACTGGAAGCTGAGGCATTCGCATTGCTTCTTCCCTCGTACTTGCCCTCTGGTTCAGAGTTTCAGTATAGCTGCTTCCAGAACCTGAAGGCATTACAGAGCTGCTGACTGCAGTCCAGGGGGCTGAGGGCTCTGGTCCCTCACCCGTTAACAGTTAAATATCTCCAATTGGAGGAATCAAGTGACCACAAGTCATGGTCACTGTGGTCACAGGCAGGTCACTGTCCTCACATGCTGAAATGGTTTGACCTTACAGTGATAGAAGGGCAAGGGAGACCTGCCCTTCAAATTCTTACGGGAGATCCTCCTCAGGAGCATTTTTTGATTGATTTGGGGATTCTTTGGCTTGTAAAAAGTCATTGTTTTCTATCTTTACCTCAAAATAGAAAGATGTGGAGTGTGTGGATTAGACTTTTGAGTTTCATGTAAGCTTTTTGTGTTGTTTGGCAACGTTTATAAGCTATTTAATGAATAATTAATTACTATAAAATAAGAATTTGAAGCTCAGATGAAATACAGGAGTATTCCAAGTACTGCTTACTAACCTGAAGAATAGGATAATGTGCTTTATTGTCCACACACCACCCCGTTTCTCCCACCCCAGTGGTGGCATTGCACAGTAAGATCTGTAACGGTGACTTTGTGTGGACCTGAATGTTTTGGCTGTGGACTAACCCGATGTGCACCCGTACCAAGGAGGGTTTGAAAGTTCTTTTCTCCTTGCAAGCAGAGCTCGGCTGCAGGGTGCTCTCTGAATTTCAGTGCCAAGGAAGGAATTGTCACAATTTCCAAAGCTGTATTAGAAGCAGATGTGGAGTATACGTTCGACCTCACCATCAGGAAGGAGGGTATGAGTCCCGAGGCAACAAATCAAACCGTACGTACCGCAGACAACTGTCGCTTTCTGTCCTTGTGTGCCTGTTGCTGGACGCAGCTGAGCTGGAATTCTGTGGCCCTTTTCATAAGGAAGTTTGTAGAGGAGAGTGCTGCTGGCTCAGGACCATGCCCAGCCATGGGTGACTCCCCAGGCTGCTTCCCCCGGCCCAATGTGAGAGCTGGTGCCAGTTCAGCTGGGGGTGTGGAAGTACAGCCATCTACCTGCACCAGCCAGCACGTGAAAGCAGGGGAAGCAGATTTTAGGGCATCACTGGGGCTCTATAACCGATCCCGTCCAGGTCATTGGCAGGAACAAACACTGGTATTTCTGTGATCTGTTCATCTTATGCTGCCTTGGGCAGCACTTTTTGCTTGTCCTGCCAAGTCCTTTTAGTTTCTTCCTTCCTTTAGACCTTGTGTTAGTCCCTCTCTGTGCAGAGGCTGCGGTAGTGACCCAGCCCTGAACGGTACTGGCCACCGTTCCTGGGACTGAGTCTGCGACTGCAGATCTGCCGTAGGAGGACAGAACGGAGTCCGTGGTCGGTAGCTCGTCCAGCACCGTGTGCAGTCCTGGGCTCTTCACATGTCACAGCACCAGGCTCTTCCATGATTTTTGCCCAGAGAGAGCTTCCTAAGAATTGGTACTTAATTTTACTGTCAACAGTTCCTCTCTTCTCTCCTTCTGAATATTTTTAAGGGAGGATTTTTTTAAGTGCATGTTGTTTATGTCAAATTAAGCCTAACACTGAACGCATCTGCAGTCCGGCAGTAGTTATGGTTTATGTCAGAAACATTCATCGTGGTGCGTTTGGCAATTAGAGATATAGTTAGTCTGAAAGTGGAAACTCTTACCGCCTGGGTTTTAAACCAAAGCTGGAGGATAAAAAGAAAAAAATTAAGTTGATAGTCTTTCAAGGACATTCCGTACTATCTGGTTTCCATGCATGAGCGCAAAACAATGATTCCAGTGTCGCAGGAAATTTGCAAATACTGTAGGAATGAATGAAGCTTCAATGCGCTCCGGCTTAGTGCTGTGGAGTATTTATCCTCTTTTAAAAGTCTGCCATATTAAACAATGTCTTCATTACTGTCTTTCTTTGAATTCAGAATACTCATTATGCCAGGGCAGAGGGCTCTGTCGAATGCTGGACGACCCCATTTCCTAGGGGATTAAAGGAATTTAGACAAAGTACAGGGGTCAGAGCTCAATAGCCATTGTGTCTGAGCCACCAGTGCTTCTAAAGCTCTCCTCTCTCCGAGTGCTTTGCCAGGGAGGTGTGGTAGATGTCTTGAGATGTGCAGCTTAGATTTGAGCTAAAAGTCTGAAACTAGATGCCACTCTGGAAAAGATGATTCTTCCAGGCTGTAGAGCAAAATGCATTTGATGCCCAGTGGGAGCTGTGTTTTCTGCCTATTTTTGTCATCATTCCTGTCTCTCAGGGACATAGGTAGTGTCAGAAATGATGATGGTTCTGAACAGGCAGTGCTCTTGAGAGCCTGAGGGTCGTGTCCTGAAACGTGGCATGTGGTTCTACTCCAAGCTCTGTAGATCAGAGCAGGGATGAGGGAGACAGCAGGACCGTGCTGGCTTTGCACAGGGCAGCACATCCTCAGTAAACCCACGCTTCCTGGCTTGCCCTGAGCCCTCTGTTACTCTGGACTGTAAACACCTCCCATTTAGCAATCTTCTGAGTCGAGGATAGGGACCCACAGCCCCACACTCCTGTGTCCATGGCAGATCTGCTGTGACCCCACCAAGTCAGGCGCTCTACAGCTGCAGAGGCAGGACCAAGAGTTTGGCCCACCGAAAACAAAGGAGAGCTGTGGTTTCTTCCTGGGGCAGGTGTTCACCAGATGTTTGGTCTGTGCTGTAATGGAGGCTTTCCTCCTCCCAGTTAGACTGCTCTTTTCCAAACTCTTAACACGGATCCCATTTTTGTAGGGTTAATAGCTGTCCTGAGGTGGTTGGTGCAGCACAGTGCTTCAGTTAGCATCATCCCCACCCAACAGCACAAGCAAGACTTGCTGGGAATTCAGCACAGGGTACCAGAGGGACATTTTGAAAGTGATTTATGTTGTTAAAAAGTGTGAATAAAGTAAATCCAGAATTACCTGGATCGGCCCATCTTGGCATTGGGTGGCTCTTGAAATCAGTGGCAGAAGAACTGGCCAGTGTAAGAAAAGTGATGTAGCTTAAGTCTGACATGAAATCCTTTGGAAATCCCTTTCTGCTGTTTCCTTAGCACAGACTGGGTGGGTGCGGAGCAATTCCTCCTTGCAGAACCAAGTGCTGGGATGTCTGCTTCCCTGTTCAATGTCTGTATTTTTGTCTCAGATTTTCTGATGGAGCCTCTTGCTTCCCCAGGTATTCATCAAGAGGGGAGGAGTCCCTATCGTGTCCCTGGAGTGTGTTTCCTGCAAGGCTCAGTCTGTCTATGAAGTGAGCAAGAGCTCCTACGTCTACCTGGAGGGGACCTGCCAGAACTGTCACAACGACTCCAAGCTTGGGGTAAAGTCATCAGCAGTGCTGGTCTTTGCTTCACCTTTGGTGGACTTCAGGGAGAAGGGGAGAGTCAGAGAGGACGGGGTGGAAAGAGCTGTGTGAGAAATAAAGTCCTGGACCTAAACTGCTGTAGAGACAAGGAGGGGAAACAATCTCTGACCATAAATGCAGTGGCAGGATAGGTCTGGCTGAGGGGATGAAGAAGTCTGGCTGATACTGGTCTCTTCATCACAGCCCCTGGAAGTGGCTGCAGGACTGGCTTGCAGAGTCAGAACTTTTAAAACAGGTCCTCCATGGAGCTTGCCTGGTGTGAGCTGGGGCTCCCACGTGCCATGTCTCAGCAGCATGTAGGAGGCTAGGAAAGCCTGTGAAGCAGATTCCCCATGTCCTGTAACCACTGGACACCCTGTGAGATGTCCAGAGCTTTCCCTTGCCCGGGGCTGTGCCTGCAGGCTGCGGGACACATGGCCTGTCAGTCCTCCATCGGTGTCTTGACCTACCCAAGGGCAAGTCCTTGCTGGGTCATTTTCAAGCCAAGCCCATGAGTGACCAGCTTGTTTCACACAAAAGCCACTTTTTTTCCTAGAAGAGATCTGTAGAGTATTTTCTTCTCCCTGCTGACTGGCATTTTGCCCATTATTCTCATGGCTCAAGCAGAGGTGGTTCAGTCTCTTCCGATCCCCCACGTCCCTCATGCCCTCCTCTAATTACACATTCCACTACACAGCATCTCTGCAACCTGTTGAATGAAGTAGGTCTCGGAAGCGAAAGTCCTGTTGCGAGAGCTAATCTGTATTGCTCCCAGCAAGCCCAGCATGTACTTGCATGGCATTTTCTGGCTGGCTATCGCGCTGTTTCTCTTGTTATCACAATTGTACATTTGTGCTATTAACAGTAACAATCCAGGACACGTTCAGCTTGAAGCATATAAAACATGGTATCCCGTGGAGACTCCACCAGTACTTAATTTATTTCCTGTGTTTTGTATTCTGTATTATGAAATATTCTGTCGGAGGGTGATGTAATCCTAGAGACTAAAGTAGATCTCACAGTGGAAATATTCCCACCAGACATTTTGGAAAGGTTCCAGTTCTTGTTGCTGTAGCACACAAGACTAAAGCTGAATTATCAACTGCAAATTTGGCAGATGCTCCCACTAGAAATCTGTTACTTTTTATAAGAGACTCAATCTGAAAACATTTTAAGGACATAACTTCAGATTTAAACAAAACCTCTCCTGTCTTTCCCCTCTTCATTTCTATAGAGATGGGCAGCACACAGCTTTAAAAACAAGTCTCTCATCCTGGACAAAAAAACTACCTCCACTGGCGACACAGGAATGAACCTGGTCTTGAGGCAAGGGGCACTGAAGGATGGGGAGGGATATACTTTTACCCTTCACATCACAGACCTCACAACAGGGGAGGAAGGATTTGCCTCCATCGATCTGCTCCCAAACCAGCCACCTGTTGGAGGATCCTGCCGGCTGTCTCCCAAAGGACCCCTCAGGGCGCTGATGGCAAAAGTGCACTTTGAGTGTTCAGGTGAGAGCGTATGGACAGTGATGCTGGGCACCTGCCAGCCCTCTCTGCTCCTCATGGGCAAAGGTTTCTCATGACCAGTGTGTTAACCAGCTGCCCTTCTTCCCACAGATGTTTTTTTACCCCGAGCTCCTACCCCAAGACACTGTTGGCCAGGGCTGAGTTTAGAAGTGGATCTTTCCATTTCTGATCTCCAAAGTTTGGACCGTGAGCAGCTTTGTGTGCCCAAATTATGGAGCTCTAAAACTCAGGGTAGCAGGCAGGCACTTTTTAAAATCCTGTTTCATGTAGTTGAATGGTGATATCCAGGCCAGGACAGTACTTGCAGAAGAAACTGGTATTTCAGTGCAGGAAAAAGAAGATAGGTGCCCAAAACTGAGTCACACATATATGGGAAGAGTCAAAAGACGAAGCACTGGGGCCTTCTCTGCCATGTGGGCTGGATGTTCCCATCAGCAGTTATCTTCTCAACCAGCTGCAGAGACAGCAACAACGAGTCTAGCTTTGGAAAAGTGGCCTGGCTGACATCCTGTAGCCTTGGGCCAAGGAATAAGTGCCTCTGAAAACCATATTTCCCCAAATGATTAGTGTTAGAGATTAATGCTGTCTGTGCACAAATGCTGGGAAGCCACGCTGCAGAGGAGATGATGAATTCTGCTGGTTCTGGGATGGCTGGTCACCAAAGCCCAGCTTAAGCTGGGGGAGAAGCAGAAGTGTATTCAGCATGATATGGTTGTAACTTTGGTATGTTTTGAGCTACCCAGAATAATTATGAAATCCTCTTTGGAGTGGTGGGAATTTTAGCTCTTAGTGATTGTTTTTAAGCTGAAGTGAAACACGCAGGATCCAGACCCTGGTCGATGTCCAGTGCAGCAAGCCTTGACAGAGCCAGCACTTCCACTGGTTCTCACTGGCAAACGTGCAGTGAATTTCCCAACTGCCCTGCTCCCACAAGACTCCCCATAACTCCTGGGAGCTCCAAGGAAACCTTTGTGCAGGTTTTATCCTAGACCCAGTTGTTCCTGAGGTGTTGAACTGCCTGAGGGCTGCGCTGAGCCTCTGTCTAATGTTAGGCTTTGCAGGGCTTGTACAGAAGCTGTGGCTTTGGGTCAGTGCTGTTCCCAGCCCCAGAAGAGTTATTCCCATTTTTATTCTGCTCATGAACTCTTCACAAATCCTTTTAAATGTTACAAGACCCAAACACCTAGGCAGGAACCCCTAAACATCAGAAAAATACAAAGAGGGTCAGAGCTTTACACTGCAGGCTCTGAATACTTCCCTCCAGCCCGATGGAGTCCTCTAGCTGTCCTCATTGTGGGGACAACCTGTCCCTCTGCCAGAGCGGGGTGACCCCTTGCTGGGGACAGCAGCGAGGGCAGGTGCCACGCCGAAGGGCTGAGCGCGGTGGGACACACCAGGGGAAGGAAGGGGCACTGCCAGGCAGTGCCAGCTCTGACGGTCAGGCTGGGCTTCGGGATGGTGGCTTCAGCCCCGCCGTGCCCTTGTTCCATCGGACCCCCTGTTGGGGTTTGTTTTGCAGGCTGGCGAGACACGGAGGACACGGAGGGCCCGCTGGTGTACATCCTCCTGGCATCCCGCTGCAGGGCCGGGCACTACCACGAGTTCTGCGTGTACAAGGGCAGTCGCGCCGAGCACAGTGCCTTCCTGCCCCCGGGCTTTCACGAGAGCGGCTTCATGGTGTCCGTGTCAGTCCTTGTTCAGGACCAGCTGGGAGCGACCGTGGTGGCCATTAACCGGTAAGACCCACCGCTCGCAGCCTGGGCTTACACGGCAGTGCTGGTGTCCAGCCGAGGCTCCTGAGTCATGGTCTCGGGGCTTGACCACTGGATCCCTGTCCTGAAGGGCTAGGCAGATCCTGGGTGAAACGTTTGCCTCCTGGAAGAGGCTGTTGGCAGGAAGGAGAGGGGAGGCTCAGCAGAAGCGTAATATAGAGAATTCCAGTCTTTGTGGATCATCGCTCAAGGGGGAGACTTTCCCATGTTACTGCTTTCCTGGCCACCTCCTTAATTCCCTGGTGACACTTTGCTTTGAAGGCACGATGTCACTTTCTCAGAAGATCTCTATGCTTTGTGCTCCACTACCTCTGCATCAGGAGCCCTCAAAGGAGAGTTGGCAGCACCAAGCTCTGGTGCTGTGGGTGGCCTGGTGTCCCACTGCTGAGAGCCAGGGAGGTCTCACGTAGCCAAGGTGCAGAGCACGTGCATTTGAATAGGGTGGAAAGGATTGCAGCTTGAGTCTCAGCAGCACCAGAGCCCAGTTATCCCTTCTGCATACGCCCCTTGGTTTCCAGTGTGCTCCATGCAGGCCACAAGCGCCCACAGGTCTTTGGGCAGTAGCCTGAGCTGGTCTCTGCTGCCTGACCAAGCTGTAGGACTGCTCCTTCTCAAGGCTGATTTGCAGCTCCCTGCACTGTACATGTGGTCCCAGCCTCCCAGGCTGGAGCTCACAGTCCTGCAGTGCCTGCGGAGGAGGATCTGTGTCCCAGCTGTTCCTCAGACCCTAGGGAACGATGCCAAAAGCAATGCAGCTCCTCCCAGCACACCGACCCTGTTTTTAAGTGCTCTTTCTGCTCCATCAAACTAAACCTGGATTTTATCCTCTGGGCTCGATGCACCCGTGTGCGTCCTTCATCCGCAGCTTCACAGAGCTGGACCAGTGAGGAACCTGGCTTTGGGTCCATGAAGTTCCTACATACAGCTGGTGCAAACTGGGTACCAGGGCAGGCATTAGCAGTGCTGTCTTTGTTGTCTAACCACCTGCTTCCCCCCTCATGTTCTTTCCCAGCTAAAGGGCATGTTCTGCCCCCTTCCCCCAGCCCCGTTTGACAGTCTGCACTTAACCCAAATGCCTCTTTCCCTTGGCAGCTCCATGGAAATCGGCTTACCCGAGGGGTTCCCCAGCCTCTCCCACTGGCTCTACAATCAAACTGACACCGTGCTCCAGGGCTTAGTGAAACAAGGGGACCCTCAACAGGTCATTGAGTACTCTCTGGCCCTCATCACCATCTTAAATGAGGTAAAGCAGCACTCTCTGCCCAAGAGGGGCCTCCAGAAGGCCTTGCAATTGCCGGTAATGTTCTTTGGCCAGGTTTTGTACAGCGATGTAGGGAAATGACTAATGCTACAGTTTTTCATGTAAATCGGTGTACGTGCATGCTGAGAGCTGGGCTGGATCTATTTTCATGCATCAGAAATAGTAACAAGCTCCAGACACACAATGACCAGGGAAAATAGAGGGGCTGCAAAATAAAACAGAGGTCCCGGAGAAGGCAGTGGCCTGGGCATCTCCCATGCAGTCTGCTTTTTTCCCCTCATACTCAGATAGTTTTTACTGCCAACCTCAATTCTAAATACTGAATTTAGAAACGGAAATCTTAGCCCAAATTCCCCCACCTCCTTCACACTTCCTCTGAGCTAGCCACCCCACTCCAACTCAGCAGGGCAGGAAACTACCGGTAGCTGCTCAGGTGATGCTCTGGGGTGCTAAGGAGACCTCCTTCTTCTGACTGCTCCGCTAGTGCAGCTAGAAAGGTCTGCCTGCATATAAGGCTGTTAATCCACAGTGCAGGAGCGTCATCTTCCTGGCAGCATTTACCTTCACTCCTGCCTAAAGTAGGGCCCAGTCCCTCCATGTGCATCTCTGTAGGCGGGGCAGGAATTTTGGTCTATACTCATGCTGTCCTGCCTGGTAAGAGCCTGCTGCATGCCTGGAAGCCAGGCAGGGGCGATCCCCCTGAGCACAGGCACTGTGCTTAGCTGGGTAAGGACTCCACACTGGTGTACTACTTAGCTGTCAAGTGCAAGGCTGTTAAGGTAATTGCTTGGAGAGCACAAGTGAAATTGAGGAAGTTCTGCTGAAAAAACAGCTCATTAGATCACGCTCTGGGGAGGAGCACAGGCAGGGAGATAGGGAGTGCAGGGAAGAGGTGACTTCAGCACAGCTCATCATCCTCTGAAACAACCTGATACATTTCTTCACTCTGCCTGCTTTTCTCCCCCACCAGTATGAGCGGTCCATGCTTCTGGAACCTGAGACTGGGAATGAATTTGAACTCCGGACCTGGACTCGCAACAATATCACAGAAACCCTGAACTCGCTGAAGGTCAACACAGTTGATGATATCCAGCAGATCTCAGCTGCCTTGGCACAGTGCACGGTATGTTCCCCATCACCACCTCCAGCCTCCTGCTCTTCCAGGTGCAGCTTAGATGCTCTTCAATTCTTGTCCTGCTCCCCTGTCTCTCTCTCTCCCCCTGACACATACCACACAGGGAGGACAGGTATCACTTGTTGACATCATTAGGGTTTCTGTGGTGATGTCCTAAGTGTTGTCAGCTCTGCACCTTGCCGTGTCACCGATCTAGCAGGCATGGATAAGATGATGCATTCATGTGCTGGAAGACAGCGCCTAAGAGCTCTGTGCTTCTTCTCTGGTATCAGCCCTGGTGTGGCAGCTTGCTAGCAAGTAGGTTCCCACACTTGCAGATGGAGACTGTAGGAGAGGCCTCGACGGACTGGAGAAGCACTGGAATAAATTGCTGGGAGACTTGCAGAATCTCCAAGGACAGGCTGGACTCCATCAGGAGTAACACAAGTAGAGCCGGACCTGCCTTGAGCCAGGGGACAGTGCCAAGGACTGATGTTCCTTCCAGCCCAATTTTTACCATACAAGATTAGAAACACTGCTCTGCTCCACTGCTGACTGGAAGCGCTGTGTTCCCCAGCCAGCTCACAGTTTCAGCTCCTTGGTGCTGGGGCTGCTGCCTGGTGGATTTAGGAGTGGCTTTATATGTTTTGTCAGATGGGCAAAGGGAAGAGAGCCCAGTTATATAATGTGCTTGGGGTTTGGTGGTCAGCCAGTCGGCTCTGGCGTGCTCTTCCTCCCAGCCCTCCCAAATCTTTGCTTTCGGGACTGGAGTCAGGTACCCTGGCTTTGGCTGCACTTCGCCTCCCCAGCCAGGTCAGCAACCTCGCCCAGCGGGAACAGGCTGTCGTTGAAATGATGGACAGACTACTGCATCCCACCCACAGAGTCCCTATTCCGCTGCTCCTTTCTCTTCTTCAAAGTCTGTAAACCTCAAAAATCACTTCTTTCTGTTCATCTTTGTTCAGGGATTTGGGGTTCGGCACATCCCATTCTGATGCTGGATTGGTTTGTTTCTGTCTCTCCCACGTGCTTTTGCCTTGCGACTTGATCTCGCTGTGGAAGCTTCAGTCTAGAAATAGAATTATTGTTCCACGGGAAAAGCTGATGTTCCAGGATCACTTTGTGCTCTGGATTGGAATGAAAAGCTTAGAAAAACAGTAATCTAGAATTTCCCAAGTGGTTGAGACTAGTGCAGAGTTCACACATTTCCTTTCCTAGAGAAGTGTCAATCAATGCTGGTACTTTTTGCTTTTACCTACAGGGGAGAGGAAAAATCAGAATTAATTTCTCCTAGAGGTGGAAAAAAAGAATCTCAGTCTTCTTAGGGAATTCTCCTTCCTAAGCAGTAGCTCCTCTTGGGTGGTTCCTCCCCATAACCCTTTTGTTTCCCCACCTCCTTGATAGCTGACTGTGCCTTGTGGACTCCAGTTTACATAGTATGTCCTCACTTCTCATTGCTTACAAATAAAAGGAGAAAAGGGGGAATTCTAGACCTGCAGATGCTGTTTTGATTCCTCATCAAAACATACGGTGAATCACGTCTGAATCCTATGATGGTTAAAAGAAAAAAGATGAATAAGAGCTAGGAACGGGGTTGTGGTAACAGCTTCCATGTGTTGCCTCAGTCCCCTCCCATCCAGCCCTCGAGAGTGCGGGGAGCTCCAGGCCATGGCTAGAACATTCTGTTTCTTGGACACATCTGGGAGCAGAGGGAGGGACATCCATCATGCATGAGTGGCAGGATCCCTCCCACAGCTTTCAGGAGTATTTGGACACTGAAACAGATTCATGAAGGGCTAAATCTTGCTTCCATTGAAGATAGCGGAGTGGATGCAGGAATCCTACCCAGCTCCTTCAGGTTGATTTCTGGAGGAATAATGTGTCGCCCCAAAGGGGTGCTCAGGAGATGCAACAGCAGGAGATGTGCTTGGTCCTTACAAGTGAACTCCAGCGAACTTGAATATGCTGCCCTTTATTGCTGTTTCCAACCCTAATGCATCCTCCATCAGACTCCTGGCATGCCTGCCTGTACGCTGGCAGACTGTAATGTGAGGGGAGGTAGGTGGAAGAGTCCTGGTGACACCACCAACTTCTTGGCATCTCTCAGCGTGAGCAGAGCAGCCATGGTCTCTGCAGTCACCTCCCTGGGACTGTCAGAGTGCAAATGGTGTTCGAACAAATCTGCCCAGGTCTTTGCAGGACCGAGCCAGCTGAACTTGCCTACAGCTGCCTTCGTCTTTCCTGGGAGCGTTCCTACTGAATCAAACTGTGTTTCCTTTTGCAGGTGGTGAGCAAGGAGCTGGTTTGCAAGTCGTGCCTGACAAGGACCTTGAACAAGCTGGAGACCATGATGACAATTCTGCAAGGGGAAACAACCCAGGGCACTGTGACACCAACTGGCATCGCCGACAACATCCTCAACATCACAGGTGGGTTTTGTTCACACAGGAACGGGTGACAGTTGACCAGGCGGCGCCGCTGAGGGCACAGGTCTCCCTGCAGAGGGTGCTGGGCAGAAGCAGGCTGAGGGAAGCTTTGCAGGCTTTCTCCTGTACCATTGGAGGTTTGGCCTTTTCAAGCTGTTAGGAAAATTGCATCTAACGTTTGGAGAGTGGCACCCCAGTACTTTCTTCTCCCTGCACTTTCCCAGGGTTGTCCTGGCTTTGGCAGCTGTCTCTGCGGACATTTAAATACGTCAGTTGTTAATAAACTCACTAAGACTACAGGGACTTCTCTTTTTAGTAAACAATGAGTAACAGCTATGGCTTCCAGATGCTTGCCTTCCTGGTTGCAATCTGAGGAGGGTGCCAAACTTCACTGGGGCACCCGTGAACACTGTGTGGAAATTCCCACCTGGTTACCCTGGGAGGAAGCAGACACCTTCTTTGCACTCCTTGTTATGTGTTTGAGTGTTCTCCACTTTGTAGTGCAAAAACTTAGTCACGTATGTTTGCTTTATCCATTCCCTCCCTGTTTCCCAATCTGCTGTTCTAGTCACTATACAGGAGGAAAATAAAGCCTGTTGTGATTAAGTATTCAGCACCAAACTTTGTAGATTAGCCAAGACACTGCAGGAATTCCTGACAGCTCTATTTTTAGCTATGGGCTACTGAACACCCAGTGTGGAAGGTCATAAGCACAGTGTACAGTTACAGTGAGAAGACAGTAAGGAAAGACTTGTCTGATTGTTTTGGGAAGGTGTCAGATGTTATCTAGGCTATTTACCACTTCCTCTGTTTGCACCTTTATTTCTCTCCTGGCAGGTGACCTAATTCACCTTGTCAATACGGCTTCACAAGAATCCAAGCCGCAGGAGCTGCTTGCTGATTCCCACAATTTGCTGCTAGCTCCCAAAGCCTACAACCTGTCTTCCAGCCTGATGCGCATCCTCATGAAGTCTCGAGTGCTGAATGAAGAGCCCCTTGAGCTGGTGGGAGGAGAAATTAAGGCCACAGGCAAGCGGTCTGATCCCTTTAACTTGCTTTGCTACGAAAACACACCGAACTGCCAGTTCTCCATCCCCCAGGCATTCAACACCACCCTTTCCAACCTGACAGATGTCATTCAAGTCATGTTCCAGGTGGACTCCAATCCTTTCCCTTTTGGTTACATCAGCAACTACACCGTGTCCACAAAGGTCGCCTCCATGGAGTTTCAGACACACAACGGGGTGCAGATCCCCATTGGGAGCCTGGACTCAGAGAAAGCCATCACCGTAATGGTGTCAAACAACACAGATGCTGACAACCTCTCTGCTGGCACTGAAGTCATCGAGGCAAGAACATCTGTGAACCTAATTGTGACTATGGAGAGCAACAACAGAGAAGCAGGACTGCACTTCCAGCTCACTTACAGAGTCCTGAATGGTAGCGTAGATGGATCCAACTCTTTACGCTCTTTGCTATTTCTTCCTGTGGGAGAGGAGGGCTGGGTGTTGCAGCAAAGGAGAGCTGTGTCAAGAGATAACTGGTGTGGGAGGGGATGTCAGGTGTAGCCAGCAAGTTCCACACCGCATGGTTGAGGTTCTGGCTGTCACGGGCATTATCCAGTCCCTGGTGCAATCCTTGCTTGTGGATTCTGGCACTGAGAAGCCTTTTGCTTTTCCCAGCCCTTCTGTTGAGCCACATTAGCACTGGAGGGTGTTTGTCCGGTCCCTCTCTTGGTCAGGTACAGTGAATGGTATCCAGTCTCTTGCTCAGGAATCCTCTGAACTCCAGACTGAGCAATTGCAATCTAGAAAAGCATCTCTCCCAACTTTCTGCATTCCTGATACTCCTCCCTGAACATTCACTGCTGGCAGCAGGCTTGTGGTGGAACTCTCTCTGGTGTTTATAAAGTACTTTCTGTTTTTTCTCCCCCTCCCCATGCAGATCACTACATTGCAAGTGAGCCTGAGCCATTCATCATGGCTTATCTCCATCACGAACCAGAGCCCAATGAGCACAACTGCAGTGCCTCTAAGAAAATTGGCCTGGATGCCCTGGCTGGAAGTGACCACAAGCTCTACACCTTCTTCACCTCACCCAGGTAAGAGAAGCCTCCCTTGTAATCCTGTCACCCACAGGCTGTCCCATGGATGGACGTGAGGGATGCCGAGGGCCTTGCCATGGTTTATACCAGGCTGCTTTGCAGGGCTGGTGCTGTTGTAGCTATCCACAGTGCTCCTCTGTCCTCAGAGCCTCCTCTTCTAGCCTGGCACTCCCTCTTTCCAAGACATCTTCTGCAACGGGTGCAAAAGCAGCTCAGTGCTCTGTGATTTGCCTTTCTGATCCAGGTGAGGGAGGGTTCCCCTTTTTAGAGCTGTAAATCCCATTCCCTGTGAGTATCATGACCCTCGCCCAGGGCCTCTCCTGGTGATGAGTCTCCCCCCATTGCCCTTTTCTCTGCTCACTGGCCTGATACCTGCTGTAGTCTGTTTGACTGCTGCTTGTCCAGGCTTTCATCCTCTGTGCAGTAGCGATCCCAGAGTTGCCCACCTTTACCAGGACTCTTTCCCCAAGGGACTCACACTGACCTTTGCAGATTCAGGGCTTGCTTCATGCAGCTCATGAAACCATTTCCCAGAGCAAAGCACCACACGTTAGCCTAGTTCCTGATCTGCAGTGCAACCTTCACAAAAGCACCTCTGTCCTCAGAACTCATATTCCCAACGTGTGACAGGAGGAGAATGCAGGTGCCCTCGTGGGTTTCTGTCCACCCTGCCTGCCTTCTGCTTGGAGCGTGCCGGGGCTCATTAAGCACTGCTGTTGTGCTGTTGGGTTTTGCAGCAAAGCTCTCTTCTTTTATCAGAGCAGTCATTCTTGTAACTTCAGTTGCTGACTTGCTGCCTGGCCCAGGAGTGTGTGTGTTCCTGCCTCGTGTTAGTTACGAGCCATTCCTAGGCGTTATCTGAGAAGAAAAGATAGGCAGCTTGGGAATAGGTGGGGCAAGAGTGGAGCCACTGTTGTGTAAGTTGACACAGCTTCCATGGCTTTCGGTAACAGGATGCTCAAAGAGGGATTAATCGTTCTAAAAAGCAAATCTGCTCCCAGCCAAGCATCATGGAGTGACTGTGGAAGTGTCGTGTGGCTCAGTGGGACACAGGGAAGGGCAGGTGGGAGAGCTGTGCAAGGCTGCCAGCACAGGAAAAGGATTTACAACATAGTGCTCCAGGTGCTGAAATAATACAAAGATAAAGAATTAAAGTGGTCTGTGGAACCCCAGAGTTTCTGCACAGCCAAAGGGTGATATAAATTACGCCACGTTCACTGGACTTTTCCTCCTCATCGTGTGCATGCTCACCTGTCCCTGCAGCAGGGTGCTTTCTGTGGGCACACATCCATCAGAATGGGGTTTGTGTCCCTTCAGCAAGTGGGTTAATAATGTCTCCTTGCTGTCTTTCCCTTCTCCAGAACTGATGACACCATCCAGAAATACTACTTCAACATCACAAACCATTTCAGCTGGTCCCCGGTGGAGGTGACTCTGGGGCTGTACACCTCCCTCTGCCAGTACTTCAGTGAGCAGGAGAAACGCTGGAAGACAGAAGGCATCATCCCACTGGAAGAGACCAGGCCAGACCAGGCTGTGTGCTTAACCCAGCACCTCACCGCCTTTGGGGCCAGTCTGTTTGTCCCCCCAAACTCCGTCCAGTTCATCTTCCCTGTGAGTAAAACAAAGCAGAGGCTGTGCAGCATTGCCACACGCTGAGCAGATTGTTGTCACCTAGAGGAAAGCCTCGGGCTCCCGTCAGCCTCACGTTCAAGCTGGGTCATGGCTGACCTGTGCCCAGCTGGCAGACCAGCACAAGTACCTGAGAGCCTTTGGGAGCTGCACATGGGCACAGCTCACTGAGGGGCCGTCTCCTCTGATCTTGAGTCCTGGCTGCTGCTGCTAAAAACAGACCTTTGCAGATGGCTTTATTCTCCATTCTGGACACCTCGCAGTGTGTTCACCTCTTGGTGAGATGCCAAACGCTCCTCCCAGCTGTCACCCAGCACTGTTTTATCCCAGTGAGCTTATACCTGCCAGCTGCTCCCTGCCTCCCAGGGGTGTTCAGGCTCTTCTTAGCTCTGTTGGTGTGACACAAGTGGGAGCAGAGACCTCTCGGCAGCTGCTACAGCAGCTTCAGCCGGCTGCTGCAGTACGCTGCATGTCATATGTGCAAAGAGAGGTCTCTCTATTTGCATGTGGTATCGTGTCTGTGAATGATGATAATAGCCAGGAAGGAGGCAACATGACTCCTGGGGAATGGGGGGGGGTGGTCCTCCTGGGCAAAGAGAGTGCCTTTCAATGTGTTTCTTTTCTTCTAGGCTCCAGGCCCAGGTCTCAACTACATCGTTCTGCTGACATGTGCCGTCTGCTTTGTGACCTACTCAGTGGCTGCACTGATCGTGCACAAGCTGGACATGATTGACATTAACCGAGTGGGGGTGATTCCCTTCTGTGGGAAGAACGGGCTGTACAAATATGAGATCCTGGTGAAAACTGGTTGGGGCAGAGGATCAGGTTAGCCCATAGTCTACTCCTGTGCTTGATTCCTAGGGTGACATCTGTGTAGTTCCCCTGAGGTCTCACCTCAGCACGTCATGCACAGAATGTTCCCCTGCAGGGCCCAGAGCTGAGCTGGTGTTTGGAGCAGCACTGAGCAGACTGTCAGTTCAGGGCTTCCCACAGCATTCAGTTTTTATTGTGTGATGATGGGGCAGGTCAAGAGCTGTGGAGAAGAGCATGCTGTCCTACCACTTGCTGTTGGGGTGGGAGAAGGAACTGCTGCTGAAAGGAACCACCCAGTATAGAAATATCCCCACCCTTCTTTCCCTGACCGGGCTGTGGTTGCAGGAACAGCCAAGAAGCAGCAATTGTTCCTCGCTTCTGAGCCTCTTCTGCAGAAGCACCCAGGCCATGTGGTCCCTTTAGATGGACCATTTTGCTGTCCTCCAGCATCCATCACTTTGTTCTGCCATCTGCATCTTTCCCAGAGGCATGACGGCAGAAAGCTTGGCTTTCTGATCTGGGTCTGGGTTTGTAGCTAGAGCTGCCAGAAACATCATCCTGGACTTGGAAATCTGGGCAGTTGGGATGTGGAAGCTTTAAGCAAGGACGGAGGTGGAGGGCTACCATGTCACTGCCACAAACATGCTCCCATTGATCTTAGTGTAACCACCAATTTCACTGGCAGCAGCTTTCTCCTGAAGCCACCCCAAGGACCATCCAGGTTGAGCAGGTGGACCAAGGAGCATCTGGCAAGTGGTGCCAGAGAGAAGTCAAAGAAAACAAGTCTTTCAACTACTTGGTGGAGAAAAACATCCAGAATAAACATCTCCTCCCATTAGGGTGTTAGCAAGGCAAGGAATGTCAGATTCAGTCCCCTCCAAAGAGGAAAACCATGAGCATGCCAAGGTCCATGCACCAGGCCAATCTGAGCAGCTGCCCTCCAGGCTGTGTGTAACACTATCTCTGGGTGTGGGATGGCTGTCGAGCACATTCCTTCCTCCCAAGTCTCCAGGTGGCCCCTCTGAAGGGCCATTTCATCTGGTCCCAGGTCACTGGCAGGAAGGCAGGGCCGGGGAACAGCTCCACTTTGGGTGGACTTGCCTAACTGAGCCCCGTTAACTCTGTCAGGTACCACGGCCCACGTGGGGATCGCCCTGTATGGTGTAGACAATAAAAGTGGTCACAGACATCTGGATGGAGAAAACGCCTTCCACCGCAACAGCCTCGACGTGTTTCAGATCGCAACGGAGCGGAGTCTGGGGAGCATCTGGCGCATCCGCATTTGGCATGACAATAAAGGTGAGACGTGAGCGGATGTGCAGGGCTGCGGCAGCCGTCACACATCCCAGGTCAGAACCAGGCTCGGCTCCACCTGGTACCTGGGCCAGGAGAGAGGTACCTGAGCCTACAGTCTGGACTAACCCTGGTGGGAGACCATGGTGACCCACTGGCTTGGGGGAAGATTGCTGGGTGGAGACATGGAGTCTGCATCACAGGGAAGTCTGCAGACTGGTCAGCTGTAATCCTGTACACATACAATGCAGCATGCTGTGACAGTGTCTGTAAATGTCCGTACAGCCTAGGAGGTGACTGGCTGTGCCAAGCCTTTCTCTTGGGGACTGTGCAATTCCCACAGATGAGGATGGTGTCCCAGGGTAACTGCTGCTGTCCCACTGAGGGGCTCTTGTGTTGCCCTCTCGGCTTTACAGGTTCATGCAAGGACTGTCTGCCATGAAACACATTTCTTCGTCTCTTAACTTTTAGGGCTCAGCCCCTCTTGGTACCTGCAGCATGTCATAGTCCGGGACCTGCAGAGCAGCAAGAGTTACTTCTTCCTGGTGAATGACTGGCTGTCGGTGGAGAGTGAAGAGAATGATGGCATGGTGGAGAAGGAGGTTTATGCTGCCAGTGAGTGCTCAACCCCTGGGGCATGGGGCTGGGGTGGCCGACCAACATGGCAGTTCTTATTGCGATGAGGAAGTGCCCACAGCAAGAGACTGCAGAGAGACCACAGAGCCTGCACACCGGCTCTTCCTCACTGCCTTGATGCCTTGCGCGGCCAAGTGCTCTGCTGTGTCCTTTGTGCTAGAGGACAAGGCACGGCAAGGAGCCAGCTGTGCAGGAGGGACCAGAGAGATGCAGTGCGGGTACCTCCTTGAACATCAGTCTGCAAGGAGGGGGCCATGGCAGGCTCAGCCGGGTCCCCTCCGCTGTGCACCTGGCCCTGAGAGTCTCTCTCTTTTTGTGCTCAGGTGAGACAGAGCTGAGGAGCTTCTCCCGGATCTTCATAGCAGAGTTGCAGCGAGGTTTCTTTGAGAAGCACGTCTGGCTGTCCATGTGGGACCGCCCGCCTCGCAGCCGCTTTACCCGTGTCCAGAGAGCCACCTGCTGCTCCCTCCTCATCTTCCTCTTCCTCTGCGCCAATGCTGTGTGGTACGGCGTGGTGGGCAACGTACACCTCAGGTGCGCTGCGTCCCTTGGTGCTCTGGCCAGTCCCTTGCTTCCTCAGGGCCCCTCCTGCACTTCCCATTTCACAGGGCAGGACAGACCTTACGTCTGCTGTGAATAGGTGCCTTGCTTGTGGCCTTGAGTCTAGCCTTCCCTTTCCAAAGAATCTGGGACCAGGACATGGATGATGGATGACCAAGGACAACCTGATCAGCTTTCCCCCTTATCTGGTTTTGCTGTATCATCTGTTAGCACAGCCCATGCTCCTTTCTTTCTCTGCATATCTGAAATGCCAGGTTGTGCAATTTTGTCTCACTCCTCGCTTAGCTGGCAGCCCTGAGTGCTCCTGCTAACAGCAGTCTCTGGTTTCTCTTGATTCTCTCCAGCAATGGGGCCGTTTCCAACCTGATCCCTGTTAATGTGGACACAGTGGCTGTTGGTCTGGTGTCCAGCGTGGTGGTCTACCCTCTCTACCTGGTCATTTTATTTCTCTTTCGGATGGCTCGTGGCAAGGTAAGGAGGAGAAGTAGTTGTAGGCTGCCCAGATGGGTGTGATGCTACCAGGTTTGCTCATCTGAGGCTAGACTCTGCCCTGTGTGGTACATCACTTCTCCAGCCGGTCTCTGCACTTTCCCAGTTGTGCCTCTGTGCTGCCCTGCACCATGGCCAGACCCTTGCCCCTAGCAAGTGTCTGCCTCCCTTTTGAGCCGGGAGCAGCCCCTGACCTTAGAGGGACAGATCACTGCCTGGATTCTGACAATGCCCAGACAGAGACCAAAAGGGCAGATTTTAAAAGCTGTTGAGGCACTTACTCCCTCTTGATTTCAGTACGTGATAGGAACCCAAATGCCTTTTAAAGGTATGACCCTTTGGTGCATTGGCAGGAGCGTGAGACATGCTCAGTGGAGCATTGCTAATGAAATGCCTACCCTGGGTACAAATTCAGCTGTCTGAACAGAGCTGTGGTTAGGCAGCTGTGAAAGGATTAGCTGGGGAGTTAATGACTAGTTAGACACAATTAGCAGCCCCATTAAGTATTGCAGCCAGCTGCTCAGTGACTGATGAGCAGCAAATGTCTGATATTTCTTGTTCCTTTAAGCACTCCCTGCTTTGCAGGAGGTTGCAGGCTCCTGTGGCTTCCTGGGAGCTTGTACCTGGGGTAGCCTAGATGGCACCGGGCTGTGGCACATGTGGGCACAAGTGCCTAAAGTGCCTGGGAGGTAATTGAGGATGTGCACAAGCATGTGCCTGTTCTCAGCCCTGCTAGGCAGGCCTGGGGTCCCCCAGCTCTGCCTGCAGAAGTGTGGAGCTCCTCAGCATAGTGAGCTGACGGGATCCCCTGAGCAGCAGGGCTCTGAGCCACTGTGACACTGTCACCTTCACCCCTCCCGTTTCTGCTCAAGCCTTTCTGTCTCCTGCAGGTCTCCATCAACCACACCGTGACTCACTCAGACCAGCAGTCCTTGGAGATCGACAACTACCTGGACTCCTCAATCCTCGACAGCTCCTTCCCCACCTTCCCCGGGCTCCGGGCAGAGGTAACCTGCTTCCCATCCAAAAGCTGGACAGGCTGCATGGATCTATATGCTCCCTTGCAAGAACACGGTGTCCATCCACAGCTGTCAGTGCAAGAACTGATGCACTCAAGTGCCTCTGGCAGATACTGGTGATGCGGGAGGGCCACAGCCCTTCATCTCTCACCTGCATCTCTGCCCAGGCCAGTCCCAGCTACTGAGCACAAGCTGTCTCCAGCTACTGCTCTGTGTCTGTGAGCATGGATCGTCCAGCGTGCCTGGGCATTATCTCTGGAGGAGAGCAGGCTCCTGGACGTGTGGACCCAGGGCTAATAGCAGCTCAGGGTCCAGGTTTCCAGTGAGCCTTGATGTTAACAACCCGCTGTTTTAACCAGGCACAAACTAGTGTCATGTGCCTGAAATGCCTCTGCTTCCTCCACAGGCCTTCTCTGAGCAAACCAAAACAGATCTGTTCTTGGAGGACTCCAAAAGGTAAGTAGGTTTCTGGGGATGGAGCAAGTAGGAGTTTAGGGTAGTTTTCTGCTTTGGTAGACTGGGGTTGTGCTCCCACAGCTGTTTCCCTTCTAGACAGTCCTACTGCACCGTTGCTTTTCTCATGCTTCTCATTCCCCACGCATACCTGATTGCACCCATTCCTCTGTTTTGCTGCAGCCTCGTGCGGTGGCCCTCCAGTGAGGCCCTGCTCAGCTGGCCAGACCTCCTCAGTGACCCCTCCATCATGGGCAACACCATCCAGAAGCTGAAGAGAGGCCGGGCCAGCCGCCACCTTGGACTCGAGGCCCCATTGGCAACTGAGGAGGACAGCTTGTCACTTGGCGTTCACCAGGGACAGCCTCGATATTTCTCTGCCTCAGGTGGGTGTGTGGATAGCATTGCTCTGTGCCAGGGTTTGAATTTCCCAGGGAAGTGCAGGAGGAGCAGTCTGGTCCCTGGGAGCCCTGGCTCAGCTCTGGAGAAGGCAGAATAATAGAGCCTGCTGCCATCACCACTGGCTTCAGTTTGAAGGGCAGAAGAGGAGGGTTGTACTTTCTTAATGGGGATTTCAGTCTGCAAAAGCAGAAATCTGATGTGGATCAGTCTGGAGTGAGTGGTCACCACACTGCCAGCAGACTGGGAGCAAGGAGAGATGTGTTTCTATGGGATGGATCTGAATGTTGCAATCAACCAGCACTTCTTCACTGGTTGCAAAGCCACAGTGTGTCTCTGAACCTCTGTAAATGGCTGGAGAAGGAGAAGAACTTGGCCTCCTATGCCAGCAGTTTCATGCCAGGCTCTGCAGCCAAGCTGGGGATAGACGGGAGCTAGAAGACAGGGAGGACGGGAGGGCTGTCCCATGGAGAAGGACCTCACCGTGGCCCTCTGCCTCCCCAGTTCCACAAATGTGGCTGAGCCCGAGTGGTGCGGAACTGACCCCTGGTGTGATGCTGGGTGCTGTGCTCCTGCCAATGTTGTTTGTACTCTCTCTCTCCTCAGATGAGGATCTGATCCGGCAGATCCTGGCAGAAGGAGCTAGCGGCATCTCCCACTCCCAGGACCTAGGGCCGTACATGAGGGCTGAAACAGATCTGATCTCAGGCCTGTAAGTATTCGGGGAGCAGAGTCCCGCACTAAGCCAGTGCCTCCTGTCCCTTGCCCTCCCACCCAGCTCTGCAGCGGCTGGGATTGTGCCAGCCAGCTCTGCTGCACCCAGCCACAGTGAGCTGAGCTGGGTTTTGAGACACTGCAGATGCCTGGGACAGCCTTGTCAAGAGTCACTATGTTCTTGCTGGCTGTGATTCCTGCAGCCCTGCCAGCCAGAGCTCCAGGAGGGCACTGCCACCCTTCTAGGAGCCACCTGAAAGCTCCTTCAAAGCCCCAGCTGAAGATGTGTCTCCAGAGCTTTGTGGACTGCTGACAAAGTGCTGGGACGTGGGTTTGCTTCATGGCACTGACAGGAGGGAGAAGGGGGGTTGAACCTCTCCTGTGTTATCGTGCCCAGAGCACCCTGTTTTGGGACCCTGACCACCACCCAGCTGGGCTGCTAGATTAGGGGAGGGGAAAAACTTTCAGCCCTTCTCCATGAGATGCGGAGTGTCTGTGTGCCTCAGCAGCCTGGGCCCGCTGCTCTAGAAGGAAGTGCTTCTAACTGGTCCAGGGCTGCTGCACTGGCGTTAGCACTGGAGTTCAGTCCACCTCAGTGCCAGCCTGCTTACTGCAGAGCCAGCAGTGGCATGGCTCACCAATATCACCCCTTTGCCTTGGCAGGTCCAGCGTGTTTGGGGAGAAGGTGGAGACTGTCATGATGCAGAAGCTGAACGACAAAGGCCAGAGCATGGCAGCTCCTCCCAGGGAAGTGAGCAGATCAGCCAAGTCGACATGGACAGGTACCAGGGCTGCAGGGCTGTGCCAGCGCCAGGGCAGGGAGGGTGGGGATGTGCAAGAAAAGGGACTGTCGCACACAGCAGCACTTGGGAGGCACAGGCAGGTAAATAGAAAAGGAGCCTTAGGAAAGGCTGCTCCCCTGCTTGGGATGTATTTACTATTTCCTGCCAGCTTCTCTTGGAGCCTGAATCTCAGTAAGCCCTGGGCCACCGCTTGTGCTGTGATGGTCCCCACCGTGCACCCTAGGGAGGCTCTGCTCGCTGCTTCCCCAGTTTCTCTGCTCGCTGCTTCCCCAGTTTCTCTGCTCGCTGCTTCCCCAGTTTCTCTGCTCGCTGCTTCCCCAGTTTCTCTGCTCGCTGCACCCATCTGCAGCCATCAGTCCCTTCATCCATCCAGCATGAGAGACGGAGAGTTGCTCTACATCACCAGAGGGGAAAGGGAGTAAAATGCCAAAGAAAGCTCAAATCAACAAACAAAGCAAAGAATAGAAGAGACACTTCCTACTGGGTCATGCAACATGACAGCCAGCCAGCTGGGCTTGCAGAAGTCAGGGAGCAGGCTGTCAGGCCCCACAAGGTCTGGAGAGTGATGAATGCCTGGGTGTCCTGTGGAGAAGCTCAGCATCAGTTCTCTTAGCATGAGCTCTTGGCTTCCCGAGGCACAGCTTCCCTGGGGCAGGCTGCAGCACGGCAAATTGGACACGGCAGCAATCCTCTTGGGTCTGTTAAAATCGATCATTTCATCTTGGTTGATGAATGGTTGTAGTATCTTCATGCAGGCATTGATTTGCATGGGTGGGTGAAAGAAGCTGTGCTGAGCGAGCCCCGGGGCAGGGTGGCTTGGCAGTCTGAAGGCAGCCAGAGCAACAAATCTGTGTGGCTTTTCATGGGTTTGACAGCAGCACCTCCAGCCAGGCTGGACGTGCACAATGTCCTGGAGCTCTGGGATAAAGCAGGGAACCCATCCCACTACCCAAATCAGGATCCCTTCTCCTGCCCACCCTGTTGGCTGCAGATGGGAGGCTGCTCTTTTGAGGCTGGCTGTGTTTCAGTGTGCTGTCTGTGTTGCTGCTTAGTGGGACATGTTTGGGATAATCCCTCCAAACTCACCCAGGACTGGTGGCGAGCTCTCTGCTGGGATGAGTGGTGTGCTCAGCCCTTCCTGTGCCCATTGGGACCCTTTTGCAGTAACGTTTATGCTAGTTTTCCTTCCTCCTTCCAGTTGCAGACCAAACATTCAGGAAGCGCTTGCTCCCACCCTGGTGCTCCTATCTGGCTCACGGTATCAGTCTCCTCCTCTTCGCCACCTCCACGGGGGTCTCCGTGTGGATCGGGGTGGGCTTTTCCTCCAGCGTTGCCCTCATGTGGCTCATCTCAGGGATATTCAGCTTTCTAGCATCCTTCTTGGTCTGGGAGCCCCTGAAGGTAAGGATAACATGAATATACAAGCACATATCTGTACACGTGTATGAATTAGCTGTAATTACATCTTGTCCAGATACTAATCAGGTCATACGGGACACTGTGGATTGAATACTCTCTCCCATCTTCATATCCCTGCAGGAGGGGAAGGATGTGCACACCAGCAGCAGTAGGAGGGGCAGGGCTGGTGGCAATTTGTTTTAGAGGTTGTCTTATCTGCTCCAAGAGAGTGCTCAGCCATTAGTGACCCCAGTGCTCCAAGAGATTGTGCCACCAGTGCCCACACTGCTTGTCTCCCCAGGTTCTGCTGGAAGCCCTCTATTTCTCACTGGTTGCCAAGCGCTTGCACCCAGAGGAAGATGATACCTTGGTGGAGCATCCGTTTGTTGAGCATGTTTCTGAGAAGATCAGCAAAGTCCGACCCCCACAGGGATTTGCCCTTTTTCAGGCCAAGGAGGAGGCCAGGAAGGTCAAACTGCTACACAGGATGCTGAAGGTAAGACATCTCCTTATGCTTGTGGTGCCTAGGGCAGAGGCAGAGTGCTGGCTCCGGGAGCTGTGTCCTTGTGTGGGTCCTCCCAGTCCAGCTGTGATCTCCTCCTGAGCTAGTAGGTGCATACCTCCAGTTTCTGCCTCAATTTGCCCATCTGTAAAAGACTGGCAGTGATATTCATCTTCTCTGAAGCTCTGAGATGGCTGGAAAGCAGAACCATAATAGGGGACTGTACATCCTCGATTTGGAGGAGCTGGTGTGTTTGACTCCTTAACTCAGGTGTTTGAGGTTAGGGCAAGGTTTGCAGTGTGGAGTAGATGCCAACTTGCACAAGAAAATTCATTAGTTGTGTCTTGTGAAACACACAACTCCCTATCTAGGAGCAGAAGTTTCAATCTGTTTGTAGCTCGTTCAGTACTAATCCTCCACACTTGTGCTGGGAATACACAGCTGCTTTAACAGAGTCAGGTTATTTTTAACTGAGTGATTTCCCTTTAAAGGATGGAAACCCCCATAACTGTTGTATAAGCTGAGCTGCCAGCATATAGGAGTTCGTACAGGGAGGTTGTGCAATGCATATCAACTAAAACATGTGGTGCTGGGCTGGCCGCTTTGAACAAAGAATATTGTTATGAGCCTGTGGTCTGGGTTTCATTTTAAGCTGCTTCCCATATGGAAAAAGAACGAACAGCATGCTCTGGGTCCTGATCCTGCTGCATGGCAGGGAGCAGTCAGTGGAAAGCACTGATTTGCTGCAGGATTGGGAAACAACCCCCCACCCCATGCTTGGGTGCAATCCCTTTCTACTCTCTGCTTGCCAGAATTTCCTCATCTACATGATGTTCTTGCTGGTGATCCTGCTCACCAACTACGGAGATGCCTCCCGCAACAGCAGGGCCTTCCTTTTGCAGAGCTCCATCAAGCAGCAGTTGGGCAGCAATGAATTCCTCCGCATCAAGAGGTAACTGTGAAGGCCCTGGGGTTGGGGAGGAATAAGATGTTGCTTTATATCAGAGAAGCTGTCCAGGACTGCAGTGAAGAGTCAGGGGGCGGGCTGGGGCTGGCTGTTGGGCTCGTGCTCCACAGTCGTTCCCATAAAGAGATTCTCAACTCTGTGGGGAGCACTGGTGCCTCTGGGGAGCTGGGCACTCGCACACGAGCATGGTGTGGCAGTGAGCAGGTCTCTTTTTGTCCCTGTGGTTCTGCTTCTGCCCTGGAGAACAGAGGGACCTGTGGAGGTTGAGAGCTTTAATTTCTTTGAATTTTAATTATTTCCTCAGTGGGAAGCGACTGTGTGAATTATAGATGTTTATCTTTCTGTTTCTGATTAAAAGGACACAAGTTTGCTCTGCCTCTAAAATTTACAACTGTAAGGTTTAGCCATAAACAGTGTCACGAGAACCAAAAATAACATCTCATATAAATACAGTCCTTCCCTTCCTTGCTCTGCACATATGGTTTAACTAGATTAAATTTTCCCAGCTGAGTTTCCACACCACTGCAAACTTCAGCAGTCTAGACTCACATCAGAGCGGCTGCCTGGGATTAACAGCGTCTTTGTACCTGTCTCACTACAGACCCCTTGATTCTTCTGTGCAAATAGATGTGACTTGTCTGTGCCACGCAAAGTCACAGAAATGTTGATTCACCACAATATGAATCAGAAATTATTCCAGTGAACTCGGTGGAGTTCTGGGATGGAAGTGGTGTAAGGGGGGAGAGCAGAGCAGAATCTGGTCCTAAATATCATCCCTTTTCCACCGCGCTGCCACAGACCCACTGGTCTGATCCTCATCCAGGTGCCAAGTGGATTCAATCACGTTTAGGTCTTGCATGTCAAATAAATGTTTTCCTGACCCCAGCACCAATGGAAATGCTGCCTCTGCCTGCTAGCCAGGCACCTGGGAGGAGAGCAGCCCAGGTTAGCTCTCCAAAACTCAGTCCCCCCCCTCCAGGTGAAACACAGATGGTCATACGAGGGTGAGACATGCAGAGACTGCCCTAACAGAGCTGCCCCGGGAGCTCTGCCTCTCACGCCTTTTCCCCGTTGCAGGTCAGATCAGTTCTGGGTCTGGATGTCGCAGGTCTTCCTCCCTTACCTCTACAACAACCGGTCGGGTCAGGAGAGCTACAGCACCACACTGGGGACAGCCCGGCTGCGCCAGCTCAGGCTGCAGGAAGGTAGGTGGGCAAGGGCCCATGGCTCTGCTGTCACAGGGTGGGCGGTGACATTCCTGCAGGGATGAAATGGCCAGGTCTGGATGCAGCTGGGGCTGAATGAAGCAAGGCAGAGGTTACAGAGGCAGGTTTTTCTTTGCAGCGTGTATATTAGTGTGCCTCTGGTTCTGCTCCTGCGGAGATGAACTGGAGCATCAATCATGGGGATTTACACTAGAGAGGTCGACTTGATTTCTGGAGGTGTGACTGAGGACGTGGAGGTGGAGGGAGCTTGGGAAGAAGGGAGATGCTAAGTGTGAAAGCTCAGCTATGTGCCCCAGCACCATTTGGCTGCCTTGGGCTCCCCACAGGATGACAGTGTTGGTCTCATTCCAGCCGAGTGCCAGCGCAGTGCCCAGGACGTCCTCCACGGCATGGGCATGACTGCCAGGAGGAACTGCACCGACTCGGACAGTTTTTCTACTGCTGACTACACAGCTGGCTGGAAGAGGGCAGCCATGAATGTGACGGCTGCGTGGTCCTACTCGCCACCCGACCTGACGGGGTAAGGAGCTGCCCAGCCTGCACTTACACCCCCTGCTCCATCTGCCAAAGGCTTTGCATCTTTACAGTTGATTCGGTGCCCAGGGTGGTTCCCAGCCCTCGCCTCAGTGAGGCCAACTGCAGCCCCTGAGCCTGGCAAAGTGCAAATAAACACAGAAATGCCAAAGGCCTTCTCTGAACATGTCTACAGTGGCAGTGTGAATGGTGGGAGACACATAGCTGCCACTCACCCAACTTCCCTGGAGATGTGCGTGTCACCTTGGGCTGTCTGAACGGCAGCATAGTGCTGTTCTCAGGGGCCCAGGCTAGAGGGTTCAACTCTCTAGCTTCAAGGGCAGAGACAAGCTGCAGAACAAGGTAACCCAGCCACCCACAGAGACCACAGAACAGCACTGGCTTTCTCTTAAAGTGGGTTATGGGAGATTGGCCTTTACCAGCATACTGGACATTAAATCACTGTTGGTTTCTGCTCTGGTTTGTTCCTGGATGTGTCTTCATTGGTCTGGGGCACAACAGGGCTTGGGGCTGTTCTGAGGCTGGGAACACTGAGATGAATCAATGCACTTTTGTAATTTGTCTTGTGAAATAAATAATGAGGCAGCTGTTGCCCTTGGATGTGCAGCATAGGGGTCAGGGTCTGCATCTGTACGCTTCCTCCTGGCCTGCCACATAGGAGAGCATACCAGTGGCTGCTCCGTCCTTCAGTTCTCACCCATGGCTCCTCTTCCTCTGCAGGGTCTGGTACTGGGGTTACATCTCATTCTACGATAGCAGCGGTTACGTCCAGGAGCTGGGGGCTTCGCTAGAGGAAAGCAGGGCTCAGCTGAATTTCCTTCAGCAGCACACTTGGATCGACAACATGTAAGTGTGGCAGGGGCGAAGGAAATGTTCTGCTGTCACCCAGGTTTTTAAGGGGAGCTGCTGGAGCGTCAGTGGGGAGAGGATCTATGGTCCTACAAAACAGTGGCACCAAAGCCCAGAGTTGGTGTTGTCCCAGTGCCCTGAGCTGCTCTTCTCCCCTCCACAGGAGCCGGGCAGTCTTTGTGGAGCTGATGCAGTATAACCCCAGTGTGGACCTGCACGCTGCCATCACCCTTCAGCTGGAGTTCCTGGGGGCCGGCCAGGCCATCGCCGCGGTCACCATCAGCCCCTTCCCGCTGCTGCGGCTCAGCAGGGGTGTCACGCTGCAGCTTCTCATGATGGTCAGTGTGTGTTAATTCCCCTGCGCTCCTCTTCCCTCTCGGTCACTGCACAGAGGGCTCTGGGGACCCATTGCCTGGGCTCCCGAAGGGCAGCGTCAATCACCGTGAACTAGATCTCCCCTGCCTGAGGCCACTTGTCCCCATGCCTGTCACCACTCCACTTCCAGGCCTGGATAGCACATGGAAAACGTCCCTGGCACCACTGAGGGGAAGGAGTTTCCTCCTGTCTGGCAACATTTGTTGGTTTTGGCTCAGCCTTTTTGCTTCCTTGAACTCATGCCTGTTGCTGTGGAAACTTGAGGCTTTTGTTCTTCTGTCCTCAGCAGGGACATCAGCCAGCTGAGCCGTGTCCCCAGAGACCTTGCCTGGGCCAGGGTTCAGCATAAGCGGAGCCTCTTCCCCTGGGCACTGCCACCCTGCCACAAGTGCATTGGACGTGGTTTGGGGAGCTTTGCTGCCAGGGCAGGAGGGAGCAGGGCGCTGAGCGAGCGAGGAAGGCATGGAAGGGCTCAGGGCGGTGTGCTCTAGCTGTGGGCTGGCAGAACTCAGCCTAGTATGTGGGGCTTTTGCTGTCCTGGGGTGCTGCAGGGTGCCCCGGTGCAGCATAGCAGTCAAACATTGCCCTCTCCTTCCCTGGTAACCTCTCCATTCCTCCCCCAGGTCTTCCTCATGATGTTTGTGGTCTACTTCGTGGTGTCGGAGTCATTGTCCATCAAGAAGGAAGGCAGAGCCTACTTCACCCTGTGGAGCAACTACAGCCAGTGGGTCTTCATCCTGCTCACCACTTGCACCGTGGTGGTACATCTCAGCCAAGCCACCCTTGCTGACCAGCAGTGGCTCAAGTACCTCAACAACCGCAAGGGTTTCACCAACTTCTACCAGGTGGCCTTTCTCAACACCGTCTTCAGCACCTTGGCTGCGTCCCTCCTCTTCCTCTTGACTGTGCAGGTATGGAGAGGGTTGGGTAGGAACAGCACGTGGGCAGGGATCTGTGCTTTGGTCCTCTTGTGCCAGCTCGTCATCCATGCACGACTAGTCCCATGTCAGGGGCAGCAAAGGCCCCTGAAGTAAAAACAAATGCAAGACGGTGGTCCTGCTGTGCCAGGCATTGATCAAATGCAGCAGGGCTGCTGCCACATCCGGACTCTACTGTGGGACAGAGGTGGTGGGCAGTGATGCCACATGCATCTTTGCTGTAGCACTTTGGGTCTCTAAAGGCCCTCAGTTCCCTTGGGGAATTCACCCTAGTGTGGCTGATGGGATGACTTTTTCTGCAAGGAGCCCGTTGACTAGGATGTCCTCCACTCTGCCAGAGTTTGCATTTCTCGGACTTGTAGAGATGTTTGAAAGACCCTTCCCTGGGCTGGAAGGATCTTGCAGCAGCCTCTGCGATGGGCGCGTGTTATAACACCATCCTCTCTCTTGGTCCTAGGCTGCCCAGCAGCTGCGTTTCGTCAGGCAGTGGTCCGTGTTTGGGAAAACCTTTCAGAAGTCTGCGAAGGAGCTGACCGCCACAGGGCTGGCGTTCGCCGTCCTCATCCTGGCCTACGCTCAGCTCGGCTTCTTGGTAACTACCTGCCGTCCTCGCCTCGCCTCACAGAGTGGCTGGTTGTCAGCAAGGGCTGCCCAGCGTCGCGTTGCCCCTCGTCCCTCACCACACCATGACTGCGAGCAAAGCTCAGCAGGTCCTCCGGGCGCTCCAGTGCCCAGCCCGCGCGGGGTGCTCTTGTCTGCCACAGGCCAGGCGGTTTTGGCCAGGGACTGTGTCTGTGTCCTGTCCCTGTCATGGCTGACTTGTGGGCCACTCCTCAGGGCTCGTACTTTGTAAGATGGGGTAGTGAGTATCGGGGGTCAGGGGAACATTTTGCTACATCTCATTACGTTTCCGATGTCCTCCTTGCAGCTCTTCTCCTCCTCCTCGGAGTCCTTCCGCAGCGTCGGCAGCAGCCTCCTGCTGCTGTTTGCCATGCTGCGGGGCAGCGTGAACCTCCGCCCCTGCCTGCCTGAGTCCTCGGGCCTCTACTACCTGTTCTGCACCAGCTACATCATCCTGGAGGTGTGGATTGTGCTGAGGCTGTTCACCGTGGTGCTTATCTACAGCTACCGGGAAATGCACTTTGAGCTGTACCGCCCAGCCTTCGAGCCCCAGGACTACGAGATGGTGGAGCTCTTCGTGCGCAGGCTGAAAATGTGGATGGGCTTCAGCAAAGCCAAGGAGGTGAGTGCAGCCTGGGAGATTCTGTGGAGAAGGGCCCTGGTAGCAGGCAGTAGGCTGCAGATGTTGGCAGAGAATCAATGTCCACCATCCTTGGCTTTCCTTTGCCTCTGGCTACTTCCCACTGCTGTTCACAGTCACGTTCCTCTGGCAGGTGAGGGCTGGAGCAGTGTTCATTCCTGGAGGCCCAAGAGCTGGGTTAGCGATGGGGTGTTGTAGGGGTATCTGCTGCCAGTTCTCAGGCCCACAGTTCCACGTGGCTTTATCTGGGATCTATCCCCAGGTCCGTGCCATGGCCTGGCCCGCCAGGAATGGCTGGGAGCAGCCCTGGGGCTGTTTGGAGCAGGACACACAGCACGGCGTTCCCACTTAACTGAAATAACTCTGTCCCCTGCTCCCCTGTTCTCTTCCAGTTCCGACACAAGGTGAGGTTCGAAGGGATGGAGCCGCTGCCGTCCCGAGACTCCAGTGACTCCAAGTCCTTTCGGGGCCCCACTCCCAGCGCTGCCTCTGACAGCTCCAGGGCTTCCACCTCCTCCAGCCAGCTGGACGGGCTGAGCCTCGTGCTGAGCACCCGGGACAGCCTGGAAGTGGACGCCGACATCCAGCGCCTCCTTTCCCTCTTTGAGATGCTGCTCGCCCAATTTGACCGGGTCAACCAGGTGACGGAGGACGTGTACCGCATCGAGCATCAGCTGGAGGGCTCTCAGAGCCGCCGCTCCAGGAGGAGGTACACCCAGATGTCAGAGGACGTCCTGAGCAGGTACTGCGCAGGCAGCACAGAGCAGGGGCCCTCCCCCGAAATCTCCTCCGACACGGACCTGCAGCCCCCGCGGGACGCCCCGCTGTCCCTCAACTCTCCTGCCGCCCCACCAGGCAGCAGGGGCTCTGTGCCCAGCCGGCTCCTTCGAGCTAGCAGAGGCATCAGTGTGGCGGCTTCTGTGCTGCCCCCACACAAACCCTACGCTGCTGTAGCTCCGGCGGTGAAGAAGAAACGGCCCCTCCGGGCCAAGAACAGGGTGCACCCCGCTGTCAAGTAACAGGCGGCGTGCCGGGCATCGCGGGGCGCAATGCCCTCGGAGGGCAGAGAGCGCCTGGGAAGGGGTTTGCGAAGGGTGGGCTGTGCCTGCCGTGCAGACCTGGAGCCTCAGGAGCTGCCGCTTCTGAAAGCTCCCGCCGCGGCGGCTGTGCCTGCCGGGGCGCACGGGGCTGGTGCCGGCAACGGGGCTGGCACAGCCACCATCCTCCACGGACCTGACCGTCTGCATCAGATGTGGTTTCCAGCATTAAGGGTTGGTTGGAGAAGGCTGAGCCTTTCCCTCGGGGACGGCTGGGGAAGGCTGTGCGGGGTACGGTCAGCGTGCAGAAAATCCCTGTTGGGGTAGGGCAGTATTAAAAAGTTGTCTTTTTTGCTAAACGGCCCCATCTGCAAACAGCCTGCATATGGCGACTGTCACAAGGACACTTTACTGGGGACTGGCACAGGGTGACCGGTACAAAGCTCACCTCCCTTCCCCGCTGGCTGTGCCGGATGGAAAGGGGGAGAGGAGAGCCCCAGGCCTTGAAGGTTTGAACTGAGTCTTGGATTTTTGTCGACCAGTCACACTGTGGAGGAAAGCTACAGGTTTTGAGAAGATATTTAACCAATTTTTTTTTTTTTTTTTTTTTTTTAAAAGCATAAATATATATAGATATAGATAAATGATATCTACACCCAGATCAGTTAATTTCCAGTATTGGCTACTTTTATCTTCCAGAAATTGGTACTATTATTTGTATTTAAAGAAATCCAATATTTAAAACAAATGACATCATTGCAAGCTGCAGCGAGCTGCCAGCCCTGCTACCTGGCCAGGCTCGGAGGGGATAAAGAGCAGCAGCTCAGCCCGAGGGGTGTGGAGACCTCGGGCTGCTTTCAGCCGTCTCTGAGCGTGGGGTTGCCAACGTGCTGGCTTCGCTGCGGTCCCCCACCCAGCCCCTGCCTGCCAGTGCTCGCCCCCCACGCAGTGGCCCACGGGGTGCGGGTGCTGCTGGCTGCTTGGCTTTTCTAATCCAAGGAATGTATTGACGTAAGTATATGTATTTTTTTTGGTTTACTTGTTCGTATGTACTGCCCAGCACTTTAAATGTTGCTTTCCTCGGCTAACAATGACACATGCGATCTAACAAGAACGGGATAATATATCACAAAAAGCAGTATTTTTTTTTTTGTTTGTTTGTTGGTTTAAATCATAAACTGAAATGAGCAAGTGCTGGTGAAGTGACTGCAGCCCCCAGAAGGCCCCAGCCTGAGGCAGCCGGGCCGGTACCTCCTGGCATCTTTCCTACGAGAAGCACAAAGGCGTCGGGGGAGGCAGGTGAAGCCCTAACGGAGCTTTTGTCGGGGTCCCTCCAGTCCTGCCACCCCGCAGCTCCCCGGGACTCGCCGTGCACGGGGCTACAGCTGGCCTGTGCTCGCCATGCCCGGCCGGGGAGGGGCTGCGCCGTGGGGCACCCCCTGCTCGCAGCGTGGGGGGTGCTGAGCAGTGGCTGAAGCCTTCCCAAGGGCTGCCTTCACTTCATCATCCCCATTTCACGTTATGTATATTGTAAGTAATTTATATGTTTTGTTTTTAAATGTATATATTTTTGTATGTTTGCTATATTTTCATAGCATCGGTAACGTGTTTGAAACATGTAGATAGGAGACAGAATACTATTGTCAGAGTTATTTAAAGGATGTATTAAGTGCTTCTTCTTGGGAATGTCCCGTGTATATAAAGTATTAGGTGTCTGTGTGCATGTGGTGCGTGTGCTCTCCTCCCAGCTGAGGTTCGGCCGGGCTGGCTCTGGGCCAGTCGCTGCCGGTGGAGCGGAGCGTGGCAGGGGAGGGAAAGCCCCGCAGTGTGCTAGTTGGTGTGTTCCCAGAACCTGCTCCACGCTTTAGAAATGCGAGAGGGTCGAAGGGAAGCATTAGGCAGCGAGACCAGGCGGGCAGTGCCGCAGCGGAGGGTGCCTCGCGTTAGACTGCATCTTGCCTCTGATGCTGGTGGTCCTGGCAGCATCTGTCCCCTTCCCCTGGCAGGGGAGACCTTTCTGGGCAAAGCAAGGGGTCTGCGCGGACACTTACTTCCATTACTAATCACATCACCTCCTGAGTCTCCCCGTCCAGCTCCCAGCACTTCTGCTGTGCTGTGTTAGATACTTTTAAATATGATTTCATTCCAGCTGTGCTTCCTTGGCTCCAGGCGCCTGCCCACGTCCCTTAAGGCTGACTGAAGGAGGACGCAGGAGGACACAGGGGTGCTCTTTGTGATGGCATTGGGACTGGTGTAAGTTACCTTTGAAAAACTCAGTTGATACGAAGGATAGACACTGTGGAAAGGTTGCAGAAGGATGCGGGCAGGAGAAAACAAGCGTGGTGTAGCTTGAAGATCACTTAGTGCAATGGTTGTTGGTCACCATAGAGGTTGTTGAAAGAGCAGATGAGTGCAGAGGGAAGTAAAGTGCAGAGGGGAGAAAACTAATACTAGTAAGCATGAAGCTGTCGTAATGGGAAGGCAAGGCAGGTAGAAGAGGAGATGACAGAGAAGTGCCTAGAGTTCAGTGGCAGTAGTTGGAGATGGAGGATTCCAGCGCGGCAGCAGCAGGTGCCTGGAGCAGGTAGAACCAGCAGTGAGGGCTGCAGAGGCCAGGGATAGGGCCCAGTGCTGGCTCAGGTGCTGATGTTAGTAAGCTTTGTGAACTGTACAGACGTGATTTGTTACTCCTTTTACAAATGGCTCCATCCTCCCCAGAAAGCTTCTGGTTCTAAAACTGGTTTTCAAGGCAGAGATTAAAACTACTGGCCTTGTAGTTTTTGGTCCCTTTTACTTACCCAAGCAGCACAGCCACCAGGCTCAACTCTGGTAGATGGCCGTGACTCTTTTTTGGTGACAGGTGCAGTATTGGTGCAAGTGCCTTGCAAGCCATGTCCAAAAACCCCTAAGGCAGTAAAACGAGCAGCTGTGAGATGTACCAGGATACCTAGGCTGTGGCACTGCAGCGCTGATAATAGCGCTGGGCACACATCTGCAGTCACATCCAGCTCCTAAGCTCGTTGCCCCTCTGGCGTGTCCTCCCTGGGGCTAGGAAGGATGCAGTTATAAAGCAAAACCCTGTTTGGTGAGAGAAGCACAGGCTCTGGGTGAAACTCAGGAACTCTGTTCTACTTCTGTCTGTAAAGACAGAAGTTTCTGACTCTTTGGCTATGCCTCAAAAGGAAAGGCGCCGGAGAAGTATTTAGTTGCACAAACAGCAACTACCCGCAAAGACAAAAGCAAGTTGCTCATTTTCTAACACTGCTGTGTAAGCATGCAGACCAGCAGAGAGATTGACAAAGGAGGGTTACTATAGGAAAGCAGTCATTGGCATGTGCTGCTGGGTGGGCCACCAGCTCTTACTGTATTTTGGGTTCTTACATGGGAGATCGCCTAAGCATAACTGCACCAAAACTGCCACTTTTAACCTCCAGCTCCACACCTGGCTGCACCTGTGCATCCCTTTCCTGCTGCAGTGGAGCAACATGCGTAGATCCAGCCACCCCCAAGGGCCATGCAGTAATGTTCAGTGAATAAAATGAACCAAGCAGGTCTTGGAAAGCTCTTGCATCTTCAAAAGCCAAAGTTCAGTTCTCAGCCCCTCTCTGCCCCCACAGCTTGAGTATGATTATTTAAAAGAGGTTGTTAATCGGAGTTAAGTGCAGGAAGGAGAGACAGAGGCAAGAGGCAGTGGCAAGCAGAGACCCGACTGCTCAGAACAGCCTTTAATAAGCTAACAGGAGGCGAGCAGGCAGTGTAACAAGGATGCTCCCCAACTGAAGCGTCAGGATTTTTGTTCCCAAGTGCCTGTTTCCTTCTAAGCTTGCTCTGCGTGTGTGTGAGTGTGACTTGATGCGTGTGACTTACCAAGTGCTTCTTCTAATCAAAGAGGAGCAGAAACAGGATAAGACAACTGCCCTACTTCTTTCCTTCATTTGAAGTACGGAGAGCAGCTCTGGAACCCACAGTTGTTTCTTGAAAAGCCAAACACCTCCGCGAAGGCCCATGTGCGTGGTGGCACCACTGACAGCTTTCAAGCAATCATAGTTCTCATCGCAGCATTTATTTGTACAAACTATAGCAACACTCACAGGGTTCCTTCATTGTCCCAGCTAAAGTACTGCATATACATGAACTTAGCTGCAGCCAGAATTACCAGTCATGGAGCTATACCCCCGACAGCAATAAACTTGACTTGCAGCCCTAGCCAATAAATACTCCTGAATGTATATTTCTGTATTTGTAGTCACCAAGAGATGGTTTCTTATTTATTGTCTTAAGTCTCACAAAGATGCAACAGTATCAAGCTGCTTAAATAAAAAAACCTATCCATTAGTTTAAAAGGGAGAGGGAGGGACTTCTTATGTAAGTGCTTTTTTAAAAAAAAGGAACAGATGATTGTGACCAATATGCCAACTGTTACTGTCTGGTCAGCATTTCACTGCAAACAAAAATATCGTATTTTGTAACTGTGGGGATGTTTCTTAAAAAATGACAAGGTCAAATAAAAGATGACTGCTATGACCTGGCTCTGGTGCTTCTGTTACGCTCACTCCAGCCTGTTCACTGCTACCAGCGAGAGCTCAGCAAAGGCACAGGGGCAAAGCAGCGCTACTCAGAGCTAGTCCACAGACATTCCTCCCCACCCCATTGTTATTCTCTTTGTCTGTGACTGGAGTTTTAATTAAGGTCTCCTGCAGAACTACAGGATGGTTTCTTAAATCAGCCAGCCTATTAGGGCAGCTCTGGGCTGTAATTAACAACATCAGCTTGTCAGTGAAGGGCCTGCCGTCAATGTAAAGGAGGCTCAACCAAGGCAGAGTATGGCACAAGGGCTCGCTCAGCCCCAGGGTGCTGCTGCACAAACACAGCAAGCTGCTCTGGCTCACCTGCGGTGGGAAATGCCAGCAGAAAAGCCCTTCCCGTTGCAGAGGTTACCTGAAGCTGAACCAGAGGGAACATCCCCAGCACAGGGACTGGAACACAGCCAGGTATCACACCATGTCCAGAACTTGGAGGTGTAGCTGGTAGTTACTGAAATATGAGCCATATGGATCAGAAAACTGAAAGGGGAAAGAAGGAAGGAATTTAAATTATTATGAAACACAGTTTGAATCTTCCCAGGCCAGCAAGAACCCACTGATCATACAAATATTTTATTTCCTTTACGACTTATAAACACTCAAAACACAACATACACTTAGAGTTCCCAAACAGCCCTGCACAAGCTAGTAGCATCACTTTTGTCCCCTCGCCTGTCACTTCACAGTTCCATGTGCAGATTGCACTTGTCTTCATCTCCACTGCAAGGGCGCTGCTGTTACCTGTTACCAAAAAGCCACACTTCCCATTTATTGACAATGCAGGAGATAAAGTACTCACAGTATAGTCCAGCTTACATGGTTTCTC